GAAGTGTTGAAGACTAAATTAAGTCAGAATAAATAAGATGCGATTTTAATTGTTTGCCAGGTCATTAAGGTTACTTAGCTTCCACAGGGACATTTGTATAACTTAACTACAAGAGGTTATTTAACGTTTTATGATTCAGTAAGAAGAACTGATTTATTTAAAAGTATTTATAAAATGCGGCATATGATAACTCTCCTCTTTCACAGTGTGGGATAGTGCTGGGAACAATACTGTTGTTCTCCTGCTCCTGGATGACCCACCAGTCCTGCATGTTCCTGGTTCACACGGCTAGTAACACCAAACGAAGGACGTATGCAGGATTGGGTGAGTTCAAGTTGTTATTATTGACATTTTTATTTAGTAGTCTATATACAGTTCATGAATAGGCTTGTATTCACCACTTTTACTGTTGTCAGTGCCAGTTTTTGGGAAGACATCCAGTAAAGTGATGTATTTTGCATATTGGTTGGCTGCTTGTTTAAAAAAGAGGAAGACGTTGGTCGCAGCAATAAACAAGACAGATACAATTGTGTCAGCTACAGAAACTTAAACTTCATGCACAGAAAACTGCCTCGCTGCCCACAGTATTAATAAACAAGAAATGTGAAGATTACAACTTCAAGTGCCTGCACACAGAAAAACAGGATGTGTGTTGGGAATAGAAGATAAGTGTAGGTATGTTATTTTGTTTTTATCAAAAGAGGCTATTTTAGGACACTGCCATCTGCTTTGCTTCATGTTGTTCACACTGACATCACTGTCTTTCTCTGCAGCCTTCCACGCTTACGGGAAACCAGGAAAAACATTGGTGGAGACGAGGCAAGTCTAATTATTTATCCTCAATACACATTCTGCTGTAGTTCAAGTGAATATGATGACTTCCTTTCATGCAAGTAATTGTTAAAGAACTTAAACATTGGGACATTTAAGGGGGTTAATTTAGAAAAGCCTTTGTTTTTAGAGTAAACACAGCAAGTAAACAAGTAAACATGGCAAATATATAAAGTTGGAAAGATAAGATATAATATCTATGTTTTCAATATGATGGACACATATAACATTTGAGATCCCACCTGTGTGTGTGTCTCCTCTCTACCTGTCCCTGCAGTATGATTGGGTTGATGTTGGGGACCTGCATTGCCTTCTATGTCGTCATCGCTGATTTGGGCTCAAATTTCTTCGCTCAGCTTTTGGGTTTACAGGTTTGAGATTATGACTTGTATATCTAAATGACAATCTTTGAATATTTCGCATCTCTCATTAATCAAAGTATACATTTTTATCTCCATTGCCTCCTCCACTTCTTAGTCAAAATACTTTAAGAAATGTTCGAAGCAACAAGCAAACAAAAGGACAATAATATTGTATCATGGTGTTACACTATCCTTTAAAGGTGACGGGCAGTTTTCGTGTGCTGCTGCTGATCGCCGTGTCTCTCTTCATCGTGCTCCCGCTGAGTCTGCAGAGGAACATGATGTCCTCCATCCAGTCTTTCTCTGCGATGGCTCTCATGTTCTACACCCTCTTCATGTTCACGGTGAGCGCACCATCACACAGACAGCGACAGTCTGCACAGTGCATCTGAATAGACTGCAGAGGAAACACGTTTTGGCTGTGCTTCCAAAGCCTAACAATCAAAATGCATGAGGTAGAACTGTCCTTGGGAGAAGATGAAAAGCTCCTTGAGTTTGCGATGGAGCGCAGCACCGTTCACAGTATAATGAAGCACTAGGATGTTGTGCTGCATTGAAAGATGACGTGTGTTTGTTTAATTGAGTCTGGCTACAGTTAAAAAGTGGTCAGCAGTGATAAAAAGTTTTCAAATTTAGGTGCATTGAGAAAATGTATCAATAAAATGTAATTATAGTGGATTGAAATATGGATCAAACCAATCTACCACAGAAATGGAGGACAGTTTTTCTCTCAGCATTTTGAGAATTTACCAGGCCTGTGTGATGTGACCATAAATCAAGAAAAAATATCAATAATTACCATTTTAAATCACACATTATTATTTAGTTTTTATACCCCCTCTTTGTGCTATATGTATATATCAGATCTTTAATATTGCTTTAGATAAAATTATATCGCAAACATTATTGATACTGTTTTATCACCCAGCCCTAGTATTTACTTTATTGATAATGTAAAATGCTAATAGACATTTTGTTCATGTATTTTGTGTGCAGGAGATGAGTGACTGTAATGTTACTGTAGTACATATGAATATTACTGACTTTAACAGGTTTCTCCTGTATAACCCTAGTGGCTCATTGACCTAATCTTCTGCTTAACATGAAACATTTTTGATTTTCTCAATACTGGTCATATTGATGTCATGTTGTATTGTGTTGATCTCTTATCCGCTCCACCGTAAAGTACATCTTCCTCACCGACAAAATTGTCTTGCTCCTCTTTTTTAAAAGAGCAAATTTACACTAAATCACATCAGGCAGAAAACAATTGCGGCATGGCTTTTTATTGTAGGCTGAAACAAAGCCTCTCCCCATGGGAATGAGACACCACTTGGAAATTGGCCAGCAGAGACATTTTAAGCTCTGTAAGTGCAAAGTAAATGGTGGCCAGATGGTCAATTCCACTAAATCACAAACCTTTGCATCTTAAGGGACTTATCTTTCTCTTCTTGCTCATTTGATGCAAAAAAAACCTTGTTCTACTTGGTCTTATATATTTCTGCTTGTACATACCTTGCTGCCGCAGCCAATCAGAATTCATCCCCAAAAACACTATGGCAGTTGAAAAATGTTTGAGGTTAATAAAAGCCCTAATTCCTTCTGGAATTGATGAAATAAGATTCAGGTTTGTGGAGTTGCATAGAGGACTGTAAACCATACAGGTTTTGTATTATTGAAAAACATTTTTTTAATATGATTAAATGCAAATATTTCTTACCACTGTGCACACTGTCATGGTGTGAACTGGGGTCTAAAGTCTAAACTAGAGATGTTCCGATACCATTTTTCCCTTCCCAGTACCGATTCTCATACCTGGACTCTGAAGCATAAAGATATTTGATTTAAAATGTCAGAGCGGATAGATTTGGTTTGTTGCAACACTTTTCTGCCTCATGTGATTCAGCTCATTTACTCTTTAAATGTGCACACACATACTTTGTGTATGTGATTCTGTTCTACTGACCTGTAGTGTTGCTTCCACAGACGTCAAACTGCTGTTTAAAGTGTAATGTTGTGATATGACCTTTAGTTCCATAGCATGGCGATTACATGGAGCGGTGGTGTGGTGTGTGTCTGGCTTTAGACCCAGGCATGGTCCAGCCTGGCCCAGTCCAGACCCCTGACCCTCTAACAGTGATGTATCTCCTTTCCTCCCTCCTTTTCATCCTACCCTTCATCTCTCTCTCTCCCTGTCCCTTCTGCTCATGCACTACTTTATCTTCCTCTATTTTCCCGCCTGCTCTTCCTCACACCCCTTTACTACCTCCTCTTCCTCTACACCCTGTGTTTGCTCCCCTCTGTCCTGCTTCTGTTCCTGCTGCTGGTGCTATAGATAGTGTTGTCATCTCTTCGCTACGGCATAATCTCGGGCTCCTGGGTGGAGCGGGTTCACCTGTGGCGCTTCAAGGGCGTCATTCAGTGCCTGCCCATTATCGCCACAACCTTCTGCTGTCACCCGTAAGTAAACCATGGTAACCACCCCCAGAATAACACCACTGTTAGGGCAGTGGGTGGGGGGGCAATATGTACCTTGCAACTTTATGCTCCTTAAATTCCCCTCTGACCTACCTGAACCTTCCGCCCACGCTTTATCAATCATCCTTCATTTTTCACCATTAATTCGGGTTTGGTCTGAGCCATTTCAGCTCAGAGTGTGTCTGTGTGTATGTGTGTGTCTGTTTGGTGGCAGTAGTAATAAGGCAGAGGAAGTTTTATCTTTGTGGGGTTCCCACCACTGCTCCACACCCAGGATGAGCAGCCTGGGTGTGGAAGGCTGGAGGGTTATGGAGTGTTCTGCCGTCCTTTGGGACTTTCTCAGGTAATTAAAGGAGCAAGATGTAGGAAACGCATGCTGATTGAAAACCTGTGGTGTAGTTTTGTATAGAATACCTACCTTTTTTTGGTTCAAATGTACAATTTCATCGTTATTCATCATCTTCATCACATACAGGTTTTCTGTTCAGTATGGGATTTCCTGTCACATTCCTTTACTTCTCTTAGTTTTGTTTTTCTCTCCTTGTTCCATTACTTTTATTACCTGTGTGTTACCCGTCAGCATGGGTGCAGCCCGCCACCTCTTCCTCATGCTCTCCCCCTCTTGTCTTCATTTGGTTCGGGCTGTAACCCCCACCCCCACCTCCTTCCCCTCAGATGGTGGTGTCCTCGTTCAAACACGGGCTGCTCAGCGGCTGGTGGCTAAGTCAGGTCAATGTGGTGCGCTGGGAGGGTGTGTTTCGCTGCCTCCCAATCTGTGGGATGGCCTTCGCCTGTCAGTCGTAAGTACTCCTCCCGCCCCCTCCACCCGCACAGGGACCATGTAATAAAACTAATGTCAAATCAGACTATAAAAATCTTTAGCTGAAAGCTCATTGACTCAGAATAGTAGTAGATAGTAGTCCTAAATATGGGCTTTTCCGCTCAGCAACAAAGTGAATTGAATCTTTAATTTGTGCATGAAGTAACTGATCTAATGTCACAATTAGTGCAGTTCTGCTCATATTGTTTACAGTGGAGAGTTTGGCATGAGTTTGCCATGTATAGAGACTCACAGATTTGTGGTGGAAATGAGGTGGCTGGGTAAGGGGTGTCTCGTGGTTGAGGGAGGCTGCTTATTTTACTAATGTGCTTCTCACAATCAGCTCATCTGTTTCTGCTTCATCGTTTGCTCTGAGCTCTCGAGAATTAACCTGGGATGTCAAGTGCTTGTCCATGCTGCTGCTTTTGATTTTATCTGATGTGATGAGAGTAAAAGCCGATCTAGCAGTTATAGAAAAACCAATCGATGTTGGTAAACGGTGCCATTCAGTTATCAAGTGGAATTTGCTGCAAGAACATTATTCCCGAAAATGTATAAAATGCTTACATATAGACTGGTTCATTAGTTTTTTCATCAGCTGTTCCAATTTGAAACATTAAAATTTGCAAAATATACAGTGGGCTGAGATTACTATAAAGTAAACACTACACACATGGATGCAGACCCCACAGTGACAGCAGAGATAACACTACTACGTGTCTTTTCTCATCGTTTAACAAAAACAGACTTCTCTAATACAGAGCTTTTCTGGTCTTGAAGACCAAAGTGCTCTAAAGTCAGCGTTTCTCAAACACAAACACAGTAAGCCCGTGCCACACTCGGTATGTGTGCAGCATTTCTGATCTGCTGCTTCCTGCTTGCGTCTGTTGTGGGGTTTCTGGTATGACTATATTTGTATTTCCTTGAATAGAAGTTGGCCTATGTCCTCAACTAAATTCCAGGACTCTACGCTATGAAGCCATGCATCCTCTGTTCCTGCAATAATAACAATAAAAATCTTGTCAAAACAAATGAATGGATTCAAAAACGTTAGAGTGCTTTTACTTAGAAACAGGTACAGGAAGTGTTGCAAATATTTATGTTTGTGACATGTTGGATATTGAAACTGTGGTGAAAGATCATTGTTACTGTCTGTTTTGCTGTGAACTGAGCACTATTTGTGGAGAAAATAGGCAGACCCCAACTCTCAAGAAGAGCCCCTGAGACACGGCAGTATGGCTGCTCCAACCTGATTATATAGGCGCAGAAATGACAATGCATCAGGATAATATTTTAGGTTCAGTGTCTTTACACTAAGACATGCAGAGAGGAGGAGCTGGGGTTCAAACCATCAACTTTCTCATTAGTGGACAACCCACTCTTCCTCCTGAGCATCAGCCGCTCAGGAGCTGAATCTTCATCATTCATTTATTTCTCCACCTTCATTCGTCTGCATGTTTCATCACTGCTTCTCTTGTCTGTCCTCTTTGGTGCTTGCTCTGGGATTGCAGAGTCCGTGTGTACAACAACTTGTCTTGGATTTGAATGCAGCGCAGGGGAAGGTTGTAGGAAGTGTTATGGTGAGGTCATCAGGGCCCAGATGTTTGGGTGGTGGTAGAGGTGGTGTATGTGTTTGTTTGTGTGAGAGTGAGTGAGGTAAGTGGCAGGAGTGGGCGACCGAAGACTCGAGACTGAAACAAGACTTTAATTAATGTAAATGCACAAAGCCAACATAACATTATGGTATGTCAGACGTGTTCATTACTAAGTGAGGTGTGTGCGTGTTAGAGGAGGAAGAAAGTGTGCACTTGTGTGTGTTTATGTATGTGTGTGTTGTGTGCTGGTTACCACTAGTGCTGCTGAGTGATATTTGGCAGGGTGATTTCTTGGCCTGTGGTCAGGCCGAGCGAGGCGAGCGCTCCATCAGGCGGCAGGCAGCTCAAGCCAAACCACTAATCAACACATTGGACTGCCGCCATCTTTCAGACACACACTGATGTATTCACAGGCTGATTAAACAGCTCTCAGCACATTGGATTTTTATTACATTCATGAAATGTGTTTACTTTCAGTTAAAACATTACTTAACATCAACATTATGACGGAATGGGAGCTGGCCCTGTTGTTTTTTGGCTGCACGTTTTGAATTGCGCGGAGCAGTTAGCTCATAATAGAGGGGACATAAGAAAAACATGTGTGGTGAAAATGTCCCTCTGTGATGCTACTGTCAGCATGCTTTCAACTCCAAGTTAATGATACTAGCTACACACACACACACACACACACTCCAGCCCTCTCTACACACACACACACACACACACACACACACACACACACTTGTATTCACTTTAAAGAGCTTCTCTGTCATATTTTCTCCATTTAAAGGGCAGCGGTAAAGCAAATAAAAACACATTAGCCTCGGAGTCGCGACTATTGGGTGACCATTAGATGCTTTTGCTCCCTGCTTACAATATGGTGTTTTATTTAACCTTGGCTCCGAGATTTACTGGTTTGCGGATTAAACAAGCATCAAGGAATAGCACCACGGGGCGGTGCTTGCTCATAAAACCAGAGTGTGTGAAAGAGAGACAGGCAAAACCGAACGGGGGGCAGAGAAAGTTATGGTTTCTTCCCCTCTTTCTCTCTCCCTCTTTCTCTCTCTCTCTCTTTCTCATGTCTCCTCTCTGTTTCTCCCTTTCACTTGTAAATAAGAAAGTGAGAAAGAAAGAGAGAAGGTGAGCGCTAAGAGTCTGCCAGGAAAGTTTATAATGCTCTAAAACCTGCCAGCCTTTCGGCGTTATATATAAAGCCTGTAAATTCACTGGTTACTGTCCCAACGTTACAGTGCCGACGGTTGCCTTCACATTGGCCACACTCTTCCAGCACAGAAGAAAATATGACAGAGAGAGAAAGACATGTCTCAGGTTCAACCTCAGCCTACTTTCACTTCTGTCACCTATTCTGGGTCACACACACACACACATCTACACTTCTGACTAATCCCCCCCAATCCCACGACATTACTTCCACCTACTGACACTTTGAATTTGAAAATCGACAAGCGTTGCCATCTTGCACATTTGGAGACAGAATCTGCTCGACCAATAACGAGTCAATGGTCCATCATGACGTTTTCACCCCATTTTTAGATTTAAAATGAGAATCTAAACAAATATCAGTATGAGATAACTGCCTGAAATGGCAGAAATAATCTTTTTGGAAAAGTTTATTTGACAAATCCTTTGAATTTTTAGTTTGGTCCATGTCCCATCCACAGATATAAAGAAGGAGTTGATGCCACCTGAAGCCATTGTTAATTTTTTTTTAAATAACAATTGTCCAAGTTACACTTACTTTCTTTTTTTACATGTTTCTCTTTGAAACCCCCAATATTTTAGTGCAAACTCATACAAGTTGTAGATATCCTCATCAACATGTGTGATTACTGAATCCGATCTGACAGCAGCTTAGTCAACAATACAGATTTTAATTTAATGTTACTGATGACTGCCTTACATTGTTAAAACTCTAATGGGCTAAAAGACAGCATAAAGAAATCACTTGTCTTAGGATGCTGACAAGGACACGAGGACAGTGATGCATCATTTGATTATTGAGTGGCACAAATGGGCCCCCATATGGCCGCTCATTAAAGAAAATCTACAGAGCAGTTTCCTGCACCAGATTTTAAGTAACTAGCTATGTAGACCATGACTGAGCAGCTGTTTGAACAGAAGAAGCACAACTCTGTCGAATCATGTTACAACAACTTTCCCTGCCCTTTCCTCCAGACGATATGATAAAGTTGCTAAAAACGTGTCTGATAATTCCGACAACACATGAATGCACACAATGACTGTTGATGTGTAATGCGTCATATAGAGCATGCTTCTAGGCTGCTTGTCTCTCACAGGCAGGTGCTGCCGACCTACGACAGCCTGGACGAGCCGTCCGTCAAACGCATGAGCACCATCTTCACCTCCGCCCTCAATGTAGTCACCATCTTCTACATCACCGTGAGTGGAGATGCCACCGCCATTCACACCGGTCACATTTGTCTCTGTTGGTGCTGTCGCATGGAAACCTTGTGACCTTTGTGATATTACGTCTGCTCTTTTTCAGACATCTTCAAGTCACAGTGACCGTTTACTAAACGATTTTTAAAAATGTTGTGGTGTTTCCATGAGACAGCACAGCGGCTGTCTTCTGCATGTGCACACAGTCTTATTTAGACATTTTTTAGGAAAATTCTGACATGTTCATTCCTTCCAACCTTTTCCTTTGTTCCCCCGCTTCCCTCTGAACCAGGTGGGGTTCTTTGGCTACGTCAGCTTCACAGAAAACATTGCAGGCAACGTGCTGATGAATTTCCCCTCCAACCTGGTGACAGAAATGATCCGCGTGGGATTCATGATGTCCGTGGCGGTCGGATTCCCGATGATGATCTTACCGTGTCGCCAGGCCATCAACACCATGCTTTTTGAACAGCAGGTCAGCTCGTTTTCATTTTAATAAATAAGTCATAATCTATTTTATTTAACACTTTAACTCAGTACGTTGGAAGTAGCAGGCACTCATCCTCTCTGTAGTGCATTTAGACAGTTATAAAGGCAAAAAATGTGTTACTGTGTAAACAGAGGCCTCTGGAGACACTTGTTGTGGATCTTAACTCTGACGTCTATTGAATATTCATCACATCCAGATGTGAGTGTAGGCGTATAAACACATCTGACTTTAAGATGACTTAAGACTAAAATCTTGTGGTATGTACTATTCCTTATTTAATTTAGATGAATTTCTTGCCTATACTGGGGGTATTTTGGCATAATACACTGCAGTTGTGTGGTTTGTATCATCAAGAAACCAATGGAATACAAATCTAATCTGAAAATCTAAAATTTGAACTCACTGCTAGAATCTGTTTTTCTTTTTCTGTCTTCCCTTCATTTCTCCCTCTTATTTTTCTCTTTCCGTCTCACAGCAGAAGGATGGGACATTTGCTGCCGGGGGATACATGCCCCCTCTGCGCTTCAAGATGATCACCCTCTGCATCGTGTTTGGTACCATGCTGGGAGGCATTCTGATTCCAAACGGTATGTCCTGTGTGTGTCTGTGTATGTATTTGTGTGTGTGTGTGTGTGGGTGTGTGTTTGAGAACAATCAGGCTTGGATTGAATGAATTAAAATTGTATATGTGTTCCTACGTGTGCAGCTCACAGACTGGAGGTCTTTAAGGTGCATGTGTTCCTTTATGTGGGCGGAGTAGCTGTGGAGCTTTACGACATGTGTGAATGTGACTTTACGAGTCAGTGACTGTCACACTCTAACACAGTCCTTAAATCAGGGCCCTAACTTTTATCTCCTTTTAGACGGGCAGATGGGAAGATAGGGCTATTATTCTCCCACACTCTCTCTCTTCCTCTTTTTCTCTCTTTTTCTCTCTCACACACACTTAAACACACACTCACAAAACCCATGTACACACCACCACTGTCTCTTGGTCTGGTTCTTTGAGTCTCTCTGTGCCTCTCACAAAATCCAAAATGGTGGAGATGTAAAGGTTAGCATGAGTATATGTTTTATTCATCCTTTTATATGGTGGCTGTTTGGTGAACTTTTGATTAGGAACACACACACACACACACACATCTACATACAGTATATTATATATACACGGACATAAACACACAGAGGGTTTTGAAGGCTCTTTGTATGTCTAATCAGACTAATAGACTGAGAAGAAGAGGGGTAAGGACCCTGGGGAGAATGGACACTAAATCAGAGGGAGACAATATGGTGTCTGTCCTCCAGATGAACGATGGGTTTCCAGGCCCCATGCCCAACGAGCCCAGTCTACAGGGGTGAGGCTGCTGCCAGGAGCAGGGTTCCATGGATGTGGGGCCTGCAGGGGTATGGACGGGTGCTGGTTATGTAGGACAGAGACTGTTGAGCATTGCTTTGGGTTATGTGGCAGAAATAATAATGAAAAATGGAAGAATGCTCTCCGTGGACCAAAAATGTTTCAGCTCTGACCAAGTGTTGGTGCCATGTTTTGCCTAGTGAGCTCTACAGCAGTGGCCCCCAACCTAATGCTAACATTACTATTGGATAAACTTGACACTGGAGCAGGAGCTGCATCTATCAATCATCTATCATCACCATTTCACCAGTTATCCATTTAGTTTTGGTCAGTAGTTGAGTGTTTATTTATTATCGGTAGATATACATGTACCCTGACAACTGCATAACTAGCACCTTGGGTACAAGTACCCCTGGCTGGTAATCACTGCTCCATAGGACCACAAGATAATCCCCACTTTTATCTTTCTCTTGTCTTAGTGGAAACCATTCTAGGTCTGACTGGAGCCACCATGGGCAGTCTCATCTGCTTCATATGCCCTGCTCTCATCTACAGGAAAATCCAGAAGAAAAGCTTCATCGCTCAGGTAACATATTCTGAATTTGCACTTCTGTAGTCATTTTCCAAGTTTATTCGCTGACTGACATTCTGCACTTCTTCTCCTTCTCTCTGTCCTGTAGTTGGTGCTTTGTGTGGGTTTGGGCATCCTGCTGATCAGCACCTTTACCACTCTCTCCATTTCGGCAAGCAGCCCTGGCACCAAGGTCCAGGCCCCTTCTCCTCGAGCTCCTGTCAAGAACAACCAGCCACTTCCGGACCCCCATGAACCGCACGGTAAAGATCACGACATGCCTTCACGACATGCCTTCACATCTGGCAATCACTTCTCTACCTGACGGAGTGTAGATGAAAGTGGTTTACTAATGAGCCATGGAAACATTTACCTCAGCGGGCTGGTGCCAGGCTTGTTTGCAGTGTCTGAAATTGGACAGCATGTAATTATTTTTTGCAAAAAGCACGAGCGCCACAAGAGAAATGTTTTGTTGTCTTGATTTTTTTTGTTGTTTTTATTTCCAAAGTCGTGGACTGAATGCAACACACTAAAACAGCAACATAAAGAGAATATGATCCGGTAGCAAAGGGCCAGCGACGCTAAAACAAAAGCACAAAGCCACAGTGAAAGAAAGGATTTCTTTTATCTGTTTGAGAACAAAAGATAGAGACAGACAGAGTAATAGACAGACAGGCAGGGCGAAGAGATAACCTCTTGATAATATCTGAGAGCAGCACTGTGTGCTTGACATTGATGGAGCAAGAGTGATGCCCTTCAAACTCCAGCAATTTCTCTCTGCCTCTGTTCATTTCTGCTGCCACCCCCCTTCCCCCAAAATACATTGTGTAGCCCCCCCACCCCACCCTTGTCTCCTCTCGTATCTCCTGTGGCAGCTATAAAATGCCTGTGAGCTCTGGCTGTGTGAAGGGAAGGTTTATATGGGTTTGGGGAGGGTAGTGGGGTGGACGAAACAAATGGAGATGAGCCGTAAAGGAAATCTGAGTTTCGGAGTGAAACAGGAAGGGCTTTATGCTACATCCATACTTACACGTCTGGAAATGGGTATCATGTGACCGCTCACCCACCCTGGACATAGCTTGTCTCCCACGCATGTAAGCAGTTGTTGCGTTCTACACTGGAAGGCGAGGCTAATGGCGGTAGTTTTCTTCTGGAAGAAGGTCATGTGTCACATAATGACTGAAAAGACAACAAGCGGTTGTGAGTGTGAACTTCATGGTCACGGGTTTCAAACTAAAACAGAGCCAGCAGTGTTTCCAAATGGCTCCGTTTTAGGGGCTCATAAACTCCAGAGTAGTGGGGACGTAGCCTCGGTTTCACTTCCTTTTCTTCCATCTTGGTTCTTTATTCGCATCTTTGCTCCATCTTTGTGATTTTTAAAAAATTTGCATCATGTGAAACTTATGTGCTTAGACCTGTTTCCTGTCTGTTTCGGTTTCAGTGCATCCCCCTGTTCCTCTCTTCTCCCTCAATCATTTTATTGTACTGAACTTAGTGTGTCCGTCCTGCCACCTGCAGTGTTTGCTGCCACCTGGTGGACCAGTGCGTGCCATCTGTGCAAGATATTCCTGGGTGTTAAATTTATTTTTAATGGTGGTAGTTAATGTGTACAATAAACACCAATGTACAGGAAAATAAAGAGTACATTTCAGATAGTGTCATTTTACTTTTCTAAGACCAGAGAAAATACGAAAATAAATAAGCTGTCACATTTATGGTTTCTTAATGTAGTCGCAGTAATGTGTCTCATATTTTTCAGACTGTTGTGAGAAAATACAGCAAAGACAAATAAAAAGACTACAAGGAGCGGTACTAAACAAGAGGAAAACATATCTTAATGAGAGGAATTCACTTTTATAGTTGTATAAATCTATGATTAAAATGACTTATGTTCTGTGTGTTTGCATGCAGACAATCCTCCTAACAAGAAGCCAGTGGAAATTGAAAAGCCTGACCTCCCAGCTGCAGCAGGGGTCCAACCTGTGGCGAGGGACCAGGCCGAGCCCCCCCAGATTAAAGGACCAGTGGAATTACCTGAGGGGAAGAAGGGGGAGGAGGTGCAGTTGGACCGACCTGATGCTGGTAAGGAAACGGAACCAAAACAGTAATCTTCACTGGATTTTCTCTGTAGAATCACTGAGGATTTTTTTCTTATTGCTCAGGTGTTGCGGTGCCAGAGGGAGAGGCCCATCGCCACGAACCACCCATCCCTCATGACGAGGTCAAAATAGACACAAGAAAAGAGGTCAAGAAACAGAATGATGGAGGAGGAGTAGATGAAGCACCCAAAAGAGATGGAGAGCGTGGTTTGGTGGAGCCTGGGAAGGTAGACGACAAGGTAGAGAACCCAAAGCCTGCAGAGGATGTTGTGAGGAAAGAGGAGGTGGATTTGGGTGGAGGTGAAGTCTTGTCCAATGAGCTGCTGGAGAACCCAGAGGAAGACGGAGGAAAGAAACAGAACGTTCCCCTGCCAAAGGAAGGGGAGAAGTTAGATTCTGTGAAAGATCTGGCAGCGAATGCAGTCGGTGCAGCCAATCAAGCTGCGGTGGTAAAAGTGGGCAAAGTTTCAGATGCTGCAGGGAAATGTGAGTATTTGTCCTCAACTTTGTGGTGGAAGGAAAGATCTAGAAAAAATGCATGATTGACTCTGTGACATTTGGTGAATCCTCAGCTCAGCCTCTTGAAGGAGAACCTCATCCTGCTGCAGATGCCGCTGCAGACAGTAAAGACACGGCGGACGAAAAGATGGAGGGTAAGAAAAGACAATGTCCGGGGAAATTAGACAAATCCAGACTTAAGCACTTGAACTGAATGGCAACTTTGGTATTAGATGATTTCTCTTTGGATTGGATTGGATGTAATCTAAATTACAGCTGCCCAAATGTGAATGTGTCCTGGGATCTGATCACTCAGACTACATTCAGAGGTGATCTCAGGCGCATGTTGCCTCAGTCTTTACACAGTGGGAAGGCAAATGCATCCTGGGCCACATATGAAGGACCGCCCACTCACCTGGCTTCCTCTGACCCACCACAGTTTAAAGTATTATTCCAAACATTGAGTTGTTTGTAGCCACCACCACGATATCAACACTGACCAACATACAATAGAATTTAAAGTTTTTTGCTCTGGTCGGCTGAATGCTTAATGCTCAATGTTTATACCCCTGCCACTCTCTTCCTCATTTCGCTTTGCTTGTGTTATCTTATGAGATATCATCTTTGTATTCTGTTCTTTCAAACATAAAGCGTAAAACACTTCTTGACCCTTCTTGATACTTTCAGCAGTCTTTGTTGGCTTTTGTTGACTCTTCTTCTTTTGTTTACTTTTGCCCTCTATCTCCTCCTCCATCTTTACCTCCTTTTTTTCTTTCTTTCTTTCCCTGCTGGATTCCTATCACAGTGATAAAAAAGTTGGTTGCAGGTATGAATTCCATCTTGCCTTATCGTCTGCCTAACGTGTCCTGTCATTCAAACTTCCTGTTATTCAGCTATCAGGCCACTTGTTCTCTACTATATATTTGCACATTCATACAGTGCATATGGTAATTTGTGTTTTTCATCATTTAACTAAATAATGCACCAGTGTAGAATCCACCCACTCACCTCACCTCTTAACATAGATTATGTTTGTCTACAGCTGCCCATTCCAGTTTATGCACTTTAATCTAGAGATGTGTGTTTTTTTAAATTAAAACTATAAATAAAATTAACATTTTACGGAAAATGTCTGGAGCAACTGACTCGGACATTCTCACATACAGGTCCTCCGGAAAGCTTCATGAAAATATTCAGACTTCAGTGCATGTCTGAAAGCAGCTTTACATAGAACCTGACCCTACATAAACCTAACTGAACCTCTCACTCCCTTACCCGTGCGTATTTCTCAGAGCAGTCTGTGAGTTGTCTTGTTTTAATTCAACGTTTGTGTCTCCGTGCAGAGGGCCAGCTTGACCATGCGGTGCTACTGCAGGTGATTAAGGAGCAACAAGAGCAACATAAGAGACTTCTAGATCAGCAAGAAAAACTACTGGCTGTCATAGAAGAGCAACACAAGGAAATCCACCAGAAAATACCCGCTGGTTCGTATACACATTCTTTTATTTAGATATTATTGCCCACAAAAGGCAAAGAGTTTTAAACTACATTTTTTTTAAAGGTGCTGCTGAGGGCGTGGCAGAGAAAGGCTTCCAGGAGCACCTGGAGGTGATGGAAGGTGGAGCAGCAAAGCCCAAAGACTCTGGACCGGTCCCAGAGCTGAAGCCTGCCAAGGAGGCAGCTGGAGCTGAAGCTGGAGTTCCACAGGGTGGAGTGGTCCAGAATCAAGCTCAGGCTGTGGATAAAGTCGCTGTGGCTGGGACACCTAAAGCAGTCGTCCCAGCTGCTTACAAGGAGGATTCCCACGTTTCACCTGGAGGAGAGGGTCAGAAACAGATCGAGCTGGGAGCGAGGGGAGTGCCACTGGGAAAGAAAAGATCTGATGACCATCAACCTGTGATTAAAAACGATCCTGCAGCTCAACTTAAAGACGAAGAAAAACTCCTCGATAATGAAAACCAGATAAATGTTAAACAGATAGAGAAAGAAGTGCAGGCAAGGGTGGAAAAAGAACGACTGGAAAGGGAGGAAAAAGAAAAGCTGGTCAAAGAGAAGGAAAGAGCAGAGAGTGAAAGGATAGAGAAAGAAGTGCAGGCAAGGGTGGAAAAAGAACGACTGGAAAGAGAGGAAAAAGAAAAGCTGGTCAAAGAGCAGCAGTTGGAGAAGGAAAGATTAGAGAAAGAAAGGATAGAGAAAGAAGTGCAGGCAAGGGTGGAAAATGAACGACTGGACAGGGAGAGGAGAGATAAGCTGGCCAGAGAACAGGAGCTAGAGAAAGAGAGAGCAGAAAGAGAGAAACAGCAAAAAGCTGCCGAGATACAGAGAGCAGACAATGAATTACTTGAGAGAATGAGGAAAGAAAAGGAGGCAGAGGAGGCTCGAGAGAGGCTGGCCCAGCTGAAGCCAGCCATAGAAGAGGCTGAAAAGGCTGCTGTACAGGGACCTGAGAGAGAAGACGGCGAAGCTTTGATGAAAGGAGGACGAGACCTCAAAGAGAAAGTTGCAGCTCAGCCGAGCCCCAGAGAAGGTGCAGAAGACAGAGCTGTCAAATCCGAGGCTCACCCCCAGGGCTCCCACGAGAAAGTCAGGGACCAGGGAGAGATGGATCTGAGGCGGAGGCGCAGGGCGGTGGGACCTAAAGAGGCTGGAGGGCCCCCGGAGGACACTGGGGCGTCTAGGGGGGTGCCTGGCCTGGAGCCCCTGCTGCAGCTGGGGGGCTCGAACCTGCACGCTGCCCTGGAGGAGCAGCTGCTGGCCGGGGCCATGGTGCACTCGCGGCAGATTAAACAGGCCTCAGAGGACGAGAGAGCCAAATAACATCAGACGCACAGATTCTCATTTAGTGGTCAGACAGTGAGTTCACATGTTGTTATACCTGCAGGACCTCCTCACACTGTGGACCATGACAACCGATGCCTTATGTTCTCTCTGTCTCTTCTTGGACAAAGAGTTTGTCTTTCTTGAAATACTCTTGAATACGTCTTTATTAAAGCAAAGTGTATGTAAATATTAACTTATTTTTGTCTTGTGGCAGGGATTTGTGGGAGATTCTTTGTTGAAAAATGTATATAAATCTATGCAAATACCATTATGTGGAGTGTTTTGACAAGGCAAATCTATTGTTTGAATGCAAATCATTTAAAATTGTTATTTTTTATTCACTTCATTTCTCTACAATGTATGTTTGTGTTGACTTTTTCTAAAGGTTCTGGTCATGTTGTGTGTTACTCTGAGATGTAAATATTGTAAATCTCTATGTCTCTGAACCTTCATATTGGATGTAATGTGGATTCACGTCCTTGTTTCACATTCAACTCAATGATGGAGCTGAACAGAGAAGCCTTACTCTTTGATAAACTTACTATAAAGCAGCTTGATTTAGACTACCTGGATCATTAGTTCCCATGTTCCCCCGTCTCCTCATTTTTAAAAATTTATTAGTGCCTTCCTATCCACATGCTGCAGTAGTGATGGCGTATCTTCATATTTGTGGTCTTCTTTTCCATGACCCCTCTTACTGTAAATGGTACAGTACATTTATTTCAATATAAAACTATTTGTAGGTTGTGTTCAGGAGGGTGTAAGGAAACATGGACTGTTTTGTTAGTGTTTCTTATATTTCAATTTTTCTGAAGACTCCATCACTCAGCACTTCAACACTCATCACCTTTGCTTTGTACAAGAGGCTATTTTGTTTTCTGAATATTTTTCTATGTGCATTGTATTTCTATACATTTTGGTGATATGAATGAATAAAGGTTAAAATACAATGGAGGTTGTGGGTGTTTGTTCATAATATAGACAGATGGAAGCAGTTTCCTGACCCCCCGCAACAGCGGCACCCAGTGGCTGAATGCATGATGTGTTCTGTCATGAAGCTTTCACTTGGACCCAAGGATGAACTGTTAATTTGCAAGTGCTCAAAGGTGGATTAAAAATATATATTTTTGGTGTCTTGAACATGATTTCTCAAGTCTGAGGAATTTCTTCAAATTTTGACCAGTTGTCACTTGGACTCAAAAGATTAACGAATTAGATTTCTATGGTCAATGTACAGTATGTAGACTGAAACTGCACTGGTTGGCAGAGGAATACAACCACAGGGCAATAATTCTAGTTTATTCACATCTCTATAGTACACAGTTAAATCAATCGTACCTATTCTAGGCAAAGATACGCTGCTGAAAAATACATAATTGATGGATGGCAGTGATGTAGAGTGTCCACATTAACAGTGTCCTTTGTCAAGCCGTGATACAGTCAGTTGCTTCTCAGCATCAAGAAGCAGCCATGTTCTGTCACTATCAGCCTCACAAGCCACTCAGCACTTCATGTCTCCTGCACTGAACTGTTGATTTCTGTGGCTGCTCCGCTGCATTCATTCCTCCAACATAAGGAGGACGGTTTCCATTTATTTGGCTCTTTTCTTGGCCTGTAATACAAAAAATAATGATTTTTAAACAATGACCAAAAATCCCATCTGCAAAACACCAGAGGGAGGATGACTGTCCACTTACTGCATTTGTGAAGCAGGTCTTCAGTGCTTCAAATTCCTTGGCACAAAGGTCCTTTTTCAACTCCTGTCTGCCTGTTGTGGTAGCTGCCACACACTTCCCATATGCTGCTGCCTGAATAACACAGACGGTGACATTAGACAGAGGAAAACAGTTCGGATCAAAGGGCAGATCCAATATTTTATTACTTTCATTTTCTTCAACATGGTGAGATTTTGGTTGAAAAGGGAATACTTCATTCAAATCTGGTGCATTAAGGCAACTGACATTTATAAGACTGTGAAATGTGATGCAGTTTGATTAAATTAAAGGGGACTGTTGGGACCTTGGTGGAGGTATATAGTATTCCAACAGCCATTCTATAGTACATCTTGTGTGTGTACTGAATGCATGTTTGTCTTCTTGATCTATCACTTTTTGTGCAATCCTTTATTGAGTAATGACTGAAGCTATTAACCTGGTGCAAAAATATACTGATTACATTTTAGATTTAAAGAAATCAAATAATCAAGTGATTTATGTGAGATCAAGATAGATAGAACATTTTTTCCCCTGATAAAAGTTTTTTCGGTAGTTTTTTCTTGTTGAGGGTTAAGAACAGAGGTTGTTGCACCTTGTTAAACCCTAAGAGACAAATTGTGATTTGTGAATATAAAATGCATAAATATAGTATACATCCTCGTGCAATCATCCTTTGCCCCTGCACTTTATCTCTCCAAATAATATTTCTGTCTGTAGTGATATGTGTTTACGTACACATCCTCTGTATCTTTAATTGATTTTATTCTCTTGCCATTGTTGTCCACCTCTTTCCTTCTATCTGTGGATGTTGTCGGTTCTCACCTCTGCTGAACACTGAGCGAACAGTTCAGGGAAAACTCGCAGCTTCTCTCTGCTGCGACTCCACACGTTTGACCCGGACATGGCGCCGTTCACTGACGTCCTTTACGTGTTTGAAGTCAAATGAAGAGTTCGACAGAGAGGAGACGATGATTCCGACACCCGCGCTGCGTCACTGCTTCTCACATTAAACGGCAAACTGGAGAAATTCATGTCAGCGAACAGATCCACACATTAAACCATGGGCAGCGCCATGTTGTTGACCCTGTCATCAAGGAAACGTCCCAGCGGAGCATCCGTCAGTGTGATTCGCTTATCTCCCTGTCACTCAAAATGTCCTCTCCAGCTTCCCTAAAGCTGATTCGCCTTTACCCAACGGCAGGCGTCACCGAACGCCAGCACCCGAGAGCCAATACGCTTTTAGGATTGTTTCTTGCTCTTCCGTGATTGGCTAGCTGTCACCTCGAACCCCGCCTCTCCCCGCTCCGCCCTGAGAGGAAGATGAGGAACCCGCAGCTCGGACTGCGAAATCATGGCAACATTCATGGAGCGGTTCGCTTTCCTCCAGAAAGTGAGTACTGAACACAGCCCGAGCAGCGAGAGCAGCCGAGCGACAGCTGACCGGAGCGGCTCGAGCTCCACGTAGCGTCCACCTGTCTGTTCCAACCGGCTAACTTCTGCTACCTTCAGCTTGCTATTAGCCTGCTAAGCTAACAACATGAAGACACACATCTAGTCATATCTCGTTACGTTTTTCTTGACACGCCGGAGTGTTTGGATAAAGTTTTGATTGAAACCCACACCTATCCACGTCACAATCGGTTTCACCGTTAATTAAATGAACTAATGAATGGCTTCTTGAGACATGAGAGCGACATGACAACATTGCACTCAGGATTTGTGGATGGATTTGTGTGATCCAGACACTCGTCGACCATTTGTTGATGATCTCTTCTGACTCCCTTCTTCAGGTGCCCACCCTGATGAAGGCTACAGCAGATGATGAAACCCCCTGTCCTGGCTACTTGTTCCAGGAGATTGGAAGTATCCTGTGGCTGTTTCTATTGCGTATATATACAATATATACAGATAATATAATAATTAATACATTAAATGGTAGTACTATGAGCTTTATAGTTTAAGGGTTGACAATATCTTTTCACCTCAGTGACACGTCTCCCTTTTTGTGTGGAGCTCTCAAATAGAGATCAAGGTCAACAGCAAGAAAGTTCCCAGTTTGAATCCAGTTTTAGTCAGGGTCTTTCTGTGCAGAGTTTGCATGTTCTCCTGGTTTTCCTCCAGCTTCCTCCCTCAGTCCAAATACTGTGGAGACTCTATAATGATTGTAGATGTAAATGTGTGGTTGGTTGATTGTCTCTCTATGTTGGTGCTGTGATACCTGCCCGAATGTCAATGGTTGTTGATCAGTGTACCCCGCCTGTCACCCAAAGTTAAAGGATAAGCGGTTTAGATAATTGGTGAATAGATATTCCATTAATGAATAATTATCCATTACCCAGATCAGGCGTATTGATTACTCCATAGTGATATCCTTAACCACCAAATTAGAAATCTCCCATGAATCTTCAGGTTGTGGTCAGTGTTTGTTGGAGTACCTTCTGGAGAGGCTGCAAGCTGAGTCCTGTCATGTTAAATTAAAGGTAAGCCCTGTGTATTTTTACATTTCTGCCTGAACAGTGAGACTTTAAATCAAATAGATGCTTAAGTAACTCAAAATTAAATTCTTCCTTCTTTTTTTTAGGTGCTGAAGATCTTTGTCCATCTCTGTAGCCATGGTTCAAACCATTTCCTCGTAGAACTTCGAAGGAACTCCACCTTCATCCAGCAAGCGTCAGGTTATTATTGCTTTTACCTCCATTTAACTCTCAGTATTCTGTGGCTGATCTGCTACTTGAATATTCACTGTTTGCTACTCGACCTTTTTTGCTCTCCAAGTTTATAGTGGCCCACCTGATCCCATTCATGGCACAGCATTGTACCAGAAAGTGAGGAATACAGCACAGGTGAGACATGAGTTGTATTTCTTCATCATGATCATTACATATCTGTGAAAGTTACAAACTCGCTGAGTTTTTTGTCTTTGTTTGTTTGTAGGAAGTGGCCAGGTTGCTTTTTACAGATACAATGTCCACCAAGAGCGGCATCTCTCCACTCAACCTAGTGCCCACAACGATGGGTGAGCAATAAAAATAATAACTTATTGATAATTGGTAATTATACACAAGTCCTTTTATTGAATCCAAAGCCAGTAGGAAATCTACATATTAAATATGAATGCACTGGTGTTCCTTTAAAGCAGCAGTATGTATCTTTCAAATTTTTTAAAAAATCTTTCATTTTTTTGAGTGTGTTGTCCCACTCACAAAACTAAAATACCACCAATGATACCCATGATCCTCTACTGCAATGAAAGCAGCATCATTCTCCTTATTCCAAGTCAGTGAACCATTAAATGTTTGCCTTAAAAGGTTACATGAGTGCCAATATATGTAAACATGTATAATACAGAACTCAGTCATTGAATTTTGTGAGGTGAAAGCAAAGGTACAATAGATGTTTTGTGTCTTTTTTTCAGGTATGGGCTCTGACCACAGGTCAGGAATGCAGGGCTTTGGTTACAGTCCAGGGAAGCAGGGGATAGGTGAGCAATCCGCCCAACACACGCACACACACACACACACACACACACACACACACACACACACACACACACACACACACACACACACACACACACACACACACACACACANACACACACACACACACACACACACACACACACACACAAACAAACAAACAAACAAATAAAATCAAGTTTATGTCTGTACCTGTGCCTCCCAACAGGGAGTGATTCACTATTGGATAAGATCCAGAAAGCTGCAGAGGTAGTGGCCAGTGCTGTCCTTCCACCGACTGAACACCAGGGCATCCGTCTCCAAGACAACCACTACAGGGCCGTAGTGGCGCCGTCTGCACCCATAGAGGTTGCGGTGCCTGCATGTGCCTATAACCTGCCTGCTCGCAAACCAAAAGGTCAGACATTAACAGTGAGATGGAAAACACAGACTATAGGCTTCAATCTCAAACTATTACGTTGTGTCACAGGTGCAGTATATGAGTCACTGACAAGCTCAAGGTGTGGCATCGAGACTCCAGTTTAAATCCATAAATGTTCTCCCCTCGAATATCTTGTCTCTTCACCACAGCGGTGACCCAGCGCTGCCCGGGGCAGGTAGGAGGCGGCTGGGAAGAGACCGACAGCGGCAACAGCTCCTCTCACAACTCCTCTCAGGACATCCCAGCCAACAGCAGGGCCTCAGTGGGCAGCAAGTCAGCGGGGACTGGAAGCCAATCGGGGGCCAGTAGAGAGAGCAGTGGGGACCTATCGGAACGGTGAGTGGCAGTGTCAGCCAGTCAGAGCTGTGTGAGGAGACACCGGTTTCTCTGCCATTTGTGTCCATATAGTTTTACTGTAGTTCTACTAGTACTGGGACTTTAACAACTTACATAAGTCATTTTTCTGTGCAATGTTAGTCTGAGATGATGCACAGATTTTCTACTTTTTCAAGGTTTATTTTTATTTCTCCTTTCAAACACTGACTGACCGAAGTCTGATTTCCAGGGTTGAAGCGTTGCAGTTGGGGGACTGTGGCCAGGAGATGGCACTTATCAGCAGACTGACTGAAGGATCCAGAGTGTTCCTGTCCAGAGAGGAGAACCAACACTTCATCAAAGAGTTAGTACACATAGTATCAGCCTGAGAATACAGCTGTTGTGGCTGATTCACTGTTTATATAATATGGTAATTGCCTATTATCTTTGCTCTTTAAATAAGGGATATAATATTTGTCTTTGTATCTAATCTTTCAGATGCTCCATTCTTAACTGTGAGGTTGTGATGGAGTTGCTCTCAAGCAAACTTCAAGATCCCTCAAACACCATTAAGATGGTAACAATGAAAAGGCTTCACTGATAATCCAGGTTTTCTTTATGATATTGTGCAGTCCTAACATTCACGTTTTCCTCCAATCTGGCAGAGGGCGCTGTGTGCTGTCGCATGCCTCATGACCTCTGACCTTCTCTCCCTGGAGCAAATGTTTGGAGCCACACAAAGGAGGCTTCGCCAGCTGAGTGAGGGGCCCCCAGGACCTGTGGCAAACAAAGCCACCAAGGTAAGGGAGACTGACAAGGAAAACAACAATGTGTTGAATATGGTGAATGACAGAACCAGATGAGTAGATCCAGTCTCTTCTCTCTGAACAGATTTTGCGACAGTTTGAAGCTCTGACTGGTGGATCTTTGAACGCTCCCAAGCAGGATACAGCAAACAGCAGCCACCAGGCTACAACTACTCAGCCTCACACATCTTCATACTCAGACCCTTTACTACCATCTTGCTCTGCTGACAGCAGCAACCTCAACCATCATCAGCCTGACATCACACCTATAGATGTCACTCAGCTACCAGATCGCGCATCTTCCCCTTCTAGTCTTGCTTTGGCACAGAAAGACTCAGCGGACCTGATGAATGACGGTGATGAGGTGAAACTTTCTTCCATTCAGCCAGAGCCCTTCAGGACTGCTGACGTTCAGATTGACGTCGAAGATCCAGAGCTTATCAGAGACGGAGGTTCCTCTCCTCTCTCTGATCTGCAGAGCAGGCACCAGCCCTGTCTAAGCAGAGTGTCTCTGTTTAGTGGTATGGAGCTGGTGACCAAGGGGAGGCCGCTGTGCGAGAGGGAAAGAGAAACGTACCAGACTGACACGGACAGAAAGGATGATGACTTAAAGGAGGATACAGCTGAGCACAAGTCTGACGATGCAGAACGTTCAACTCCCCCTGTCACCAGTAAAAACAACGAGAGTTCTTCTTCATTTTGCAACTCGGCTGCATCTGATAGCAGCCAGCCAGTATCTGCCTTCTCATTTCTCAAATTTTGACCAACAACTGCTGCTGGAACTGTTCTACCTAAACCAATGATGTCATCACATATCTATATCATTTTAGGAAATCTATTTAATTATAAACAAGGTCAGATCTGCAAGGTTATACTGTATAGAGAGCAGATTCATATTATGTTCAAGTTGTCTATTCGTATGTGAGTAGTGGCTCTATTGAAGCTGTACTTAAAAGACCAGTGTGTGGAATTAATGCCAAGTTCACACTACATGATTTTTACCTCATTTCCCACTCGACGGTGTTCGATCGGCAGTCGCCAATCATCCTCACATCCCATTGGCTCCCATCGGGTGATGAATTAACCTCTGGGGAAAGCGGCCAATGCTTTGGGGCTCTGGTGTAGACAGAATTGATTTTTAGGGCCAAGACTCTGTCATTCTTTCACCTGACACTGTTTACAGTTCGACTAGTTTCTAATGTCACACAAGTCGAATGCTTCTCCACCAAAAACACAAGCAGGGACAATTTTAGTAACTGCTTAAGTTCCAGACAACAATTTGGCTCATCTCTGTTAACAGATATCTGCATATGAATCCAGATAAACTTAAAAGCAGATAGCTGATGCATTTCAGTTAATGTATTCTGTGTCTATTGCTTTTCACATTAACGGTTTACCTGCAGGCAACAGAAGGCTCCTCAAACGTGATGATCTTGAAATGCAAACCAGAAGGCTTCCAGCTCTAAAATCTTCACATGCAGAATCTGTTTACAGAGATTTCTGGCCTTCAGAGCCAGTGTTTGATTTGACCCTTCTGGGCTACTGGAGAAAAAATGTGATGCAACATGACAGACTCTTCAGAAGAGGACCTGCTCTATTAGATATGACTGGTTAATGTTTAAGCTAATAAAAACATGGTTATGATTATTATATTCATTTATACAATTTGTGCTAACGGACTGCTTTGAATCCTCCACACTGCTCCTTTAACCGGCAGATTGGGTGAGGGACAGATCCAGGACTCTGAGCTGTAGTCATTGAGGGACTTAAGTTGAATTTCTCAAGAAAAGTATGGTTGTCTTGAATTACAGGTTCTGATGGCTGTTTTATCTCAGGATTTATTTTAGGTAACAACTCGTACACCTCTGCAGCAGCCCCTGAACTTCTGAGGGAGAATCCCTTGATTTGTAATTTGCACTAGTTGATTTTTTTTTTAATGATCTCATGAAAATACAACGCGGAGTCGTCTTCCATATTCTGTGGTACTAAAATATCAGTATTTTGTGTTAAGTTTACAAATTATTAAGTAATTCTACCCTGTATTGATTGAAACATACCCATGAGAATAGAGTGCATGTCTTTAATGAAAAAAACTGGGTGAGGAGAACTAACGTGGACATTTTTCGCTGACATCTGTGTGCAATAACCAATGTGTGAAACATCTGCAATCAGCATAATGAAAAAATATCTTCAACTTAACAGTCACTCCTAAATAAAATGTAAACTGCATTCACTATGGTTATTTCAGTGACACGTGTTTAGTACAAACGACATGCCATAATGGAAACCTCCTGGTACATAAAGTGAAAGCTACTGTACAATTACTGCTAGTCACTTTGTTACAGTGAATGCAAGCCACGCTGTTGCACATGTTGAAGAATAAAACATGCCGTTTTTTGTACGTAAGAGTGAGTCTCACTATGCTGCAAATTCAAAAATGTAAATGGCCTCAAACATCACTTCCAATAACACTTTATTTCAATGTCATGATTTGGAACATTACACAAAATATGAATCATTATCACACCTCTTACTTTATTTGCAACACAGTGTACTGGTCATATTAAACTGTCCATAAACAAGTATGGCTGACAGTCTTATGACACGCTCATACACATGATGTGTTAGATGCTAAAGAAGTAAAACCTGGTTCTGAATTTCTTTGAACAGCCTTTTTTCTCAGGGGCTTGATTTGTTAGATGCACTGTGCTGAGTTTACTAGTGGAGCATAGCCTGCAGTGCCAACTCTCAGCTCTGTAATTAGCCAGGGTTCAATCTGAGGTTGATGTGCCTCATGAGGAACCACTGCTCTATTAACTTGAACCTTCTGACCTGCCACACCTAAGTTTTTAGATAGGGAAAATAACTGCAAAATACAGTTTACTCTAACCATATTACTTTGGTTAGAGAAAACAGAAAAGGCCTAAAATCTTTTAAACTTGATTCATTTTAATAGTGCTCCTTGGGAGTGAATCTGTCGGCCTCCATCAACCTATTTGGTGACTGGGATCACAACTCCCACTTCACAGACACAAACGTGTGAGTGACCTCCCCTGTCGAGAGTAAACAGAATGAGTTATTGAGTAAAGTGCTGAGCTTTATTTAGTTTTGCAAGCACTTTGGATCATCATCACACTTCTCTTGTGATTAGCACCAATGAAAATGTCCACACATCGATGCACGCATGTAAAGAGAATGATAACTCTTTATAAAGTGCACAGGGTGCGTGCACACACATGCACTCACACAAACACACTTACACATCAATACTGCACAGAAAACCACAGTGGCTGGGCCATGGAAAGGCGGATGTGCTTATGGTTTCAACAAATGGTACATGGCGAGGTGGGGATGAGCCTTTGTGCCCAAATTCTGTAAACCTCCCCACACGACATCCCCTTCCCCCTGACCCGAGTGTGTCGCTTGAGGCTTTCAAAGAGGAGCCACAGTGCCAGTGGCGTCTGCACCGATGGGTGAGGGACAAATGGTCAGGAGAAGGGCCAGAGGTCACGGTCATGTCGAGCCTGGACGCCCTCTGGTCTGTAGACTGCTGAAGTGCGCCTCCCTCAGGACTCTGTTGATGTAGTCGTAGGACACACTGCTGCCGTTGCCATGGAAACCATGCTGCATGGAGCTGGCAGAGTCTTCAGGCTTTGGGCTGAGGGAGTGCTGGGCGATGCAGTTGTTCTGGCTGTGTATACACGGCCTGGTAGTGACCACTATTGCTCTCTCTGGACTACTGATCCCGTTACTGCTGTCACTGCTGGAAGACTGCAAACACAAAACAGAGGGGCCCTGAAGAACAGTTCCATGAATGGATGGAGAATCCTTAAATAAAACATTCAGTGCTTTTCCTGACAGTGGTGCATTGCACTTGGATTGCAGAGGCACGTATTCATATGTGTGATGTCAGGTTGCTTGCTTCATCCAAAAATACAAAGACTCTATGCTTGAAGAAAGAGAATATGTAACCTTTGCATATTCCTCCTCTCCCAAAGGACACCTTACATGAAACATATGTCTGTGTAATGGTCTAAAGATGAATGGACTTCGGTCTCACCTCTGAGTCCAAATCTGACACAAGCAGGCTGGGACCCCCTCCTGACCTCTTGGCCTGAGAACTGAGCTGCTGGTCCTCCTCGCTGTTGCAGCTACGGTGTCGTTTCCTGTGCAAAAACAGAAATGGAGGGGGCGTGTTGTTAAATGCTGAGGTGTATACAAAAGTGGAGGCGATAGTGTGACAGAAATGATGCAGGGAGGGGGAGTGCGATCGGAGTGAGGGAGGCAGACCATCGAGAGAGGAGAGAACATGAGGAACCAAAAATAGCACCACACACACACAGGAGCAGTTACATGAATAGAAATGTGGCACTCCCATTATGAGAACAAATTGATTAACATAACTTCACTGGGATTTAGCAGGAGTGTAATCCAACATACTGACACAGCCTTGTTAGATCGAACAGTGTGGGTTAGTGTAGTATGGAATGATCTGGACACTATGCTGCAGTACAGTTAAGATGTTTGACTGTAATCCTGTGTGGAATGAAGGGGCTGGGTTCGTGTTGAAAGGGTTACCTGTTGTCAGTCAGCATTTCTCCAGTCTTGTCGGGTGTGTTTTTAGAAAGGGGGGAGGGGGGGCAAACAGAAAGGTCGACACTTCTTGTGGGGCCGGATCCGATGCCCTTACTATGTTACAGCTCCACAATCATTCCGTAGAAAAAAATCAATATGGCAAGCTTCCTCTCATCTCATCACGAAATCCAGGACGTGAGAGAGAGTGAGCCTCCGGCTGGCTACAACACAAACCTCCGCTGACGGTTACTTCAGCCCTGTCACTGCTCAGAGTCCAGCCCAACCTACCGGCCAACCAACCACCCAACGCCCCGGTGACACCACAGCCGGTCTCTGGAAGCCTGGGAGCTAACCAGCTAACCAGCTAGCTGCTAGGTACTCTCGTTTACGCAGTGGAATCTCGAGGAGCTCCAGGCAGGACAGCAAAGAGAGCCGGCTAAGCTAAGCTAGGCTAGCCCGCTAGCTGCTGCTGCTGCTAGTGAGCGGCGGCGCCGAAGCTAACTACTTAAGCTAACTGCACCGGAAAGTTCTTCCGCTTTCGTACTACGTTCTCTCGCCGTTCGCTGATGCCGGGACTTGGTGACAGTCTCCCGTTGGACACTCAAACAGGTAAAGTTAATAAACTATGACAGAGTAAAGTGGTTAGATGTAAGTCATTGATAGCTCGGTGCTATTAGCTGAGCCATCGCAGCAGGTTCGTCTTCTTCGCTGCTGCTCGTCGGTGTCGCCCGAAGCTCCGCCCCTCTGTTTACATGACGTCACAGAGGAAACGACTTCCGGTGTCAACAACATGGAGAAGTTGTTCGTCTCCTCTGGGACGTTCTCTTATTTTCACCTTTTCCCACATTAACGAGGTAATTCATTCACAGAGAAACAGACATTCTGATAGAATGTTCAGGAGGTCGTTTACACTGTCGACCGGAAGTGCTGCGACGCGTTGTTTACTGACTCGATGCTAGCTCACAAGTAGCTCATCGAGACCAAAATCAATTCATGAACTGCATTTACACTGATTATTTCATCAAGATCCTTGAATTACTTTCTGAGAAATCGATGAAAAGGTTGAAAAACACACCCTACTCACAATGTTGAAGAAAAATGGAAAACAATTCCTGCATCCGCCCCCTGATCCAGATCTGCTCATACATTTTATCTGTCCTAGTATTTTTTGCATAATCCTACTTTCAAAAAACAAATGAAGACAATCAATATTCATAATACCAGACTTTTATAGAACATTTCTATAAGGCTGTCAAACTGTCAATTAGAGGGATCTCGCTAATGAATTTATAGAATAGGTTAAAAAGATTGAGGACCTCCAGCCACTTCTAATCTTAATAATAAAAAATAAACCATTAATCATAAAAAAGTGGTCCCACATTTTCATATTGTGTGAATTCTGAAATCAATATTTTATTCTAGATTATGAACAATATAAGGTTTGATTATAAATCTCTTTTGTTTTACGTATACCCTCATGCTGCTGGAGTTTTACAAACACTATTTCTATCAAATATGTGGTGTACATATCTTTTTTATGACATCCTACACATAAACCTGTCCAGGGTCTGTCCTGTATTTTGCCCTATGTCAGTTGGGATTGGTTCCACTGCCCCTGGGAACCTGAAGGCAAAGAGGTTTAGATAATGCATGGATGGATGGATTTCACACATTTTACTTTGCTAGCATCCTACTATTTAGCTGCTGCAAGTGATGTAATCAGTCAATTTTCCAATCTTACTGCCTTTTAAAATTCATTAAATACAAATATTTCTTTGCCGCAGATGAAGGTGATCCAGCACTCTGCAGAAACACTGCAAACAGCTTTGGTCTCGGATCGCCAGGACTTGGCTAAACTTTACAGGAAGTACACCAAAGAAGAAAGACGTCTTCTGGAGGAGGGATTCCTCCAGGGGCAGGGTTCCCTCTTCCAACCCATCACAGTGCATTCTGACTCAGACTGGATCCCTGCTCACCCTGAGGAGCGTCAGGACTTTGAAAGCTTCTACAGAGATCATTATAGGAAGACCCCAACTGCGAGCCACAACACTATATATATTCAAACCATAGGTGAGTATGTTTGTGTCAAATACTGCTAGCTTCCTGTTCTTGTCCTCAATAGATGTCCTTTAAATACAGATGGATACAGTGGGAATTTTTTAACTCTTGGCTTTTTATTCTATCTTTTGTTTCTTGTAGGTTCCTTTGGGGAGGCAGGGGTCCAGACAGACCAGTATGTGGAGTGGCTCAGACAATACTGCCAGGCCTTCTTCTATGGGCTTTCTGTCAAGTTGCTGCCTGCAGTTACTGTGGCTGAAACGGGATGCTCTTTCCGTGTTAACAGCAGCTCACACAACCTTCAGATCCTCACTGGTAAGTTAGGCAGTTTGTTAATTTTGTGTTCTGAGGCATTTATTCTGTGTTTCATTCAGAAAAGGGGGAATGTTGGAGAAAAACACAGTAAAAACAGTCATCCAAAAGTATCATTGTCCATGATGTTGCGTTCTCATTACGGTTTTCTATTAAAATTAAGGTGATCTTCTACGATTTCTGGGCAACAGGAAGCCAAAAGATGCTTTTTGTATTGTCGGAATCACAATGATTGACCTGTACCCCAAAGACTCCTGGAACTTTGTCTTTGGACAGGCGTCTCTCAGTATGGGTGAGATTTTACCACAAGGCCTTAAATAAGAAAGTATAACTGGACCATGCATGATGTTGTGGGGGAAGGATCAGAAGTATATATGTAAATCATGATATTCATTATTTAGGCCATTTTGTTTATTTATTTAGTTTCTCTTTCCTTAAATTGAAGGGCAGCTGTCTCTGTTTCTACCTCTTCATTTCCTTGTTCAATTTTCATTGTTCAAGTTGTGCTGAACTCAATTTTACGTCAATTGATGTGACAACAGCGCAGGCAAATGTTATGTTAAACAGCGTTTGGATACATTTACATCTGTACAGTGACATTTTTAACCTACAGCATGAACAAATACAGAAGAATTTTACTTCATGCATGGACCATAATGCTCTCTGATTATTATTGCAGGCTTCCACACAACACTTAATAATAATCCTCCTATACTGATTCACAGCATATTGTAATGGCTTTTAAATACCCTGATGCACAGTGTTAATGTACAAACAAAAAGTAAATAGCAGAAGAATATGTTGTCATATAGTCATGATAATTGGTCCCTGATTAAGTAATGTGGTTGTACTACCACTAGATGGTGCTAAAGTGAAATACATACGATCCAGGAGAGTTTTTGTTGCCTCTGCCTCATTATTGTTTCTCAATTGTGCACAGGAATGGGTGTTTTCAGCTTCGCCAGGTATGACGACAACTTCTACAGCAGAAATTATGCGGGACGACTGAAAAAACGTCTGCAGCCAAAGCAGGGGGATTACTCTGTGTTTGACGGATATTACACTCCCCCCATCTCCAGCACTCTGCTGCTTCGTTCCTGCAAGGTTTCCAACAAACACGCACTTTTAATACTATGCACTTTTGAGTGGTCCTCCCAAAGGTCATCCAGCTATCTACTTTAATCAGGAGATTTAAAACCCTCAATACTGCTGATTTAAAACATCTCACTTCTCTGCTTGTTTTTTACTGTGGAGTTACCAGTAAACCCCTAATGTGAAACATTTCTTTCCAGACAATGACACACGAGATTGGCCACATGTTTGGAATAAGGCATTGCCAGTGGTTGAGCTGCGTCATGCAGGGCTCCAACCATCTCGAGGAGTCTGATCGCAGGCCTCTGGATTTCTGTCCCATCTGCCTTCGCAAGCTACAAGTTTCAGTCGGCTTCAAAATAGCTGAAAGATACAAGGTAAAAAAACAACAGAGAAAAACTTTTGAAATAACAAAAATAAGCTAAAACCAGATTCCTTAGTTTCCTATTTGTCTTTTTTCCAATGTATATTAACTTACAGTAATTATCATCAGGTTTCCTCTTGAAAACAATATCTAATTGTGTGTCCTAGTTATGACAGCACCAGTTCTAGGCTTCAGTTGACACCACACTGTGCTAAAGACTCAAAAGTACAGGAGGTGCAGTCATGATGTCCTTGATACAAAAACAGTACAAGTTGATCTGGTGGCTCCCTTACTTGTTGCTGGTTCGATGACTTTGGACATGTTACCATGGTAATGCACTTAGAATGCACACAGAATTGGAGCAATTAAAAGACATTTCTTTGCACCTTCATTTCGATCCAGGCCCAAATAATCAGATTACTAAATGCACAGTTGTAATCGAATACACTGAGATTAACTGAATTAATTAAATGAATGTTTATCTGTGTTTATTAGGCCTTACTGCACTGGATGGAGGAGGATCAGAGATCAATATACAGACCAGATGAGGCCTCTGCCTCTCAGTCTGCACTCTCCTGTTCCAAACCCACTGAAGCCTTTCATGCTTCTACACTTTGGCTCCACAGATGCCTGGATGTACTGGAAAAAACATGAACTACAGTGTTTTCCAGTGGCTCTGGAAACAACAGAGAAGAAAGTGACATCAAAATGTATGTAGCCCGACACTTTTCATGTGCAACACGCAACAGATATGTGCTGCTTTTTGATATAAAACCACTTCTGACATTGTACCTGACAGATATTGGCTGATAATACACAGCATATGATAAGAGAGTGACTCAATACCAGAATATATTGAGTTGTATTTGTAGAACTAAAATGTCAAAGTAAAACAAACACACAGAAATTGTGTAGATGTGAATTTAGTAAGACACGTTTTTATTATAAAGTTTGACTTATTGTTTGAATGTGGCAGAAAGCTGTTTACCATGTGATCCAGCAGAGGGCGTCCAAAACTTCACATTAAACTTGACCCCTGGTATCCCTGATGACCTTTCAGTGAACTAATGCTGCGTTCCAAAGGCAAAGATCAGAATTATCCAGTTGCTAACACACAAAGAAATGCACAACAACATAACCTCCTTTAGAAAAAATGTGTTCAGTTGAATTTAAATTAGTATGTTTAAGGTTTAAAATATTCTGTGAAGATGTGGTGAACCAGGTTGGGACACTTCACAGCTAACTTATAAATCTTTGTGCTCATTAATGAACTTGCTTCTAAAATTTCTATTTGAGTTTCTGTTAGTTCTAAGGTTGATGCATTTGAATGTTTAGAAAAGAAACTATAAAGTCTTAATGTTGTGCAACTTCTTTATCATATTTTTGCAGTGAAAATGTCACATGTACAAGAACAGTTTCTTCAAGGTAAAAGTTTACGATAAGAAAAAACTACACACAATTCACAAACGACTCTGTTTCATTATTGTGATTGAACTCATTACAAAAATAGTTTGTGTCTGACGCAGCATATGACAACATTGTAAGCTTGGTGACAGTTTGATTTAAAAAAAAATCTTTTAATCACACACTCCTGAGCTTTATGCATTTTCTGTGCAACCCATTGTTCCTTTCAGCTACATTTGGTTAACAGTTTTTCTGGCGTTCATCATGGTATTGATGACCAGCAGGTGATGAGTTTATTAGTGTTAAAACGCTGCATCTTCTCTCTGGAAAATCTAAAACTACAGCAACTCTCAAAGTCCTTTCAGGACAGGTCCATTCATTTCAGAAATATTTCACACCTTCATCCATTAAAACAAGACGGTATCAAAAGCATACTGACTTAAAGCTAATTTAATAGCCACTCTTTTTAATTGTAACAGTATTGAATCTGGTAAAAACACTGTTTGGTGCTTTAGTGATTCACGGCATGATGGCCACCTCCATATTGTAATCTAAAGCTTCTCAAGACTCGCTCTCAGACGCCAGATCTAAAGAGGCTTGTATTTCACAGTTAACATTGGTCTCATTCATTGTATTTGTGTCACTTCAGCACTCTGGCAGCAGTAGTCTTTAAACAGCCTTTTATTCATGTATAGCTTGACCCTTTAATTATCCTCATCCCCTATTATCAGCTCAAGCAAAAAGTATAACCTCCTCGACGTCCCCTGTGGCCCCCTTGTGGTCGGAGTTGGCCCCCACTTCAGAGCAGTCGCGAGGGCCGTCAGTTCTGTCCCGTTTATGCTCCTTGCTCTGTTCCTCTGGCTCCTCTTCACGTGCACATACGTCTTCAAACTGTTTTGAAGTCCTCTTCCTACAAAGAAGTCCTCTCTTAGCAGGTTTTACCAAACCGAGGAACAGGGAACTCAGCGCCATGCCGGCTGCACACGAGTAGAAGGCCGAGCCGTAGTTGTGAGTCACATCCACCAGCACACCTGCGGATAGAGGAGGAGTAAAAAGAAGCATTAAAGGAGCAGTCGGAAGATTTCACAAGTCACGTTTGTGAAGTGTAGTACCCAGTTCAACCACTGTGTAATGTCTCTGACTGTAGCTGATATGAACTGAAGTCATTTTCCTTAAATTATCCGGAGAGGCTGTATGTAACAATTGAACAGTTGTAATGTAGAAATGTATGTAACCGTTGGTGATATTTCTGGTTAATGCATGTTGTTCTCTTTTGACTGTTTTTAAGTTCTCCTACTTTAAATAAGTGCAACACTAAGATGATGGAGTATACCTTTTACATAGAAAACATTACACATCTCATGTAGCTCTTGAAGTCACTGCATCACTTTCACCAACCATCTTACTTTGATTGTCCACTATGTTTACAATCACTTCACACAGTCAACATAGTGCAAAATATGATGTACGGTTTTCAGTGCTACGGTTGTCAAAATTAGATTTTCGTCATGTCATGAACTATCCTTTAGTGATCAGAAGATAAAACCTGTGGTAAAGTGGAACCTCAGTATCCTTGAAACGTGTAATTAAGAGATAACACTTACCTCCAAGTGGGGGTCCGGCGAGCCCGGCGAAGCTTTGTATGAAAACATAGACACCAGCAGCCGAAGACATTCTCTCTATGCCGACGACATCATCCTCAGCCAGTATGGGGATGTGGGTGCAGGCTAGCGTCCCCATAAAGAAGCCGTACAAAGCACAGCACACAGCCAGCCCGTAGAACTCCGTGACCAAAGTAAATCCCACCAGATCTGCTGTCATTACAATGACACACATCAAAAGAACATACAGCTTTCTCTTCATGAACTGCTTTCGCGTCAGGATCCACCCAATGGAGAATCGGCCCAAGATTTCAGCCACAGCCATGGTGGAGAGCATGTAGGCGGCGCGGTCCCGCTCCACGCCCAGACTCACGCTCAGCTCGATGATGTAGAGCTGGGGGGCGAAGAAGCCGAGTGTGGCAAACAGCCCGAACAGACAGTAGAGAATGAAGTTGCACTCTCTGAGGATGGAGAAATCTAGAAGTTTTGAATTCTTTGGAGGTAGCGTATCTCCTCCCGATTCATTTTCCTCGTCTTTCATAGTTTGTTTCTCAGCATCTCTGTAATCTTTCTCCTCCTCGGTCTCAGCTTCTTTAATCCCTGATTCACTGTTTTCCACATAATCCTTCTCTGTCTCTGACCCTGCGTCTTTGTGCAGTAACGTCTTCTCCTCTGTGCTGCTTTTATCTCCACCATATAGAGACTGTACACCGGAGTCTCCGGTGCTTACAGAGCCTCTGGTCAACTCCTTGTCCAGACTGTATGCTGCTTGTGCGATATTGTTTGTTACTGAGTCCTCTGGGTTTGTGTCCTCCACATTCTTCTGTGCGCTGAGGTGTTCCAGTTCCTTTGCGGATGCTCCGTCAGTCTCTCTCTTGTGGGATGCTCTGGGTTTGATAACGATTGGCCGAAGCAAAGCACCACAGATGATGATGGTGCTTTGCATCGCTCCGATCACTGCAATGGTGCGTCGCCAGCCAATGTGGTCCCTCAGTGCAGAAAAGGCTAAAAATCAAGAAAGAATATTCATCAGTGAGTTTTCATCTAAAAAAACTGCACATGGAGCATTAAGTATGAGGAGTTTGAGATCTGGCTTGTAAATAGGCTGCTATCATTGTATCAAAAGCCCAGTGTGTGGGATTTCTGGAAGATTCATGGGCAGAGATTAAATAAACTGAATGTATATATAATAATAACTATGTTAGTGATATTACTGTATAATAACCTGAAACAAAACCCTCTAGAAAGAATTTTTCTATGTTACCTGAAGGACTATAAAACTTTTCCTACATGTATGGAAGGGGTAAGTGAGAGTGGCACTGAATACTACACAGAGAGCCTTTAATATCTTTAGTATCTATTCACATAGCACTTCTCAAAACAAAGTTATTGAGTGCTTAACAAATTAAAACAGACTACTCTTCATCTTCTATCTTCTAGCTCACCTGGCGCCAGGGCAAACATGGACAGGGACTCTCCTGTGGATGCCACAGCTGTGACCAGAGACCGTCGACGTGAGAAGTACTGGGAAAGGATGGTCACAGTGGGCAAGAAGGTCAGACAGTAGCCCAGACCTGCACAGTGGAAACCATGCAAGTGTTTAAGAGCAGTTTCATGTTAAGGATCATAGATGGAGACAAAGGAGCAGGAAAGCAATTTAATACCCGCAACTAAACCATAGGTGATGTATATTTGGTTGATGGAGCTGGTGAAGCTGGTGGCAATGGTACCCGAGGAAATTAGCAATCCTCCAATCATGACGACGGGTTGGAAGCCGAGGCGGCTTGTCATCACAGAGGAGAGAGGACCTGAGGACCAACAGGGATCACAGGTCTGTTTAGAGTCAGCAGCAAAGCAGTAATTCTCAAAACGTCATCATCTTTTGACTTTGTTTTTGTGCCCCTGTATCCCCTGCACTCACCGTTGAAGGTCATGACAAAGACACAAATGGAGACAATCCAGGAGACTCGACTGTTGGTCTCCCCGAACTCCTCCATCAGGTCCTGAAGGAAGATGCCGAAGCTCTTGATGGTACCGTAGGTGAAAACCTCCACCACGAAGAAGGCCGCAGCCACCATCCATCCCCAGCCTCCATCGGGAGGCTCTGAGTATACGTTGGGCCCCAAGAAACGTGGTACCTTGGTGCCACACAGTACCATGACTGGAAAAACCAAAAGGGCAGTTTTAGTTTTACTGACCGGTATAGTTGTTGAAAATGTCAAAAATAAACTTAAACACATATTTAAATTTGAATTCTGAATTGAGGAATACATAAAAATATATGGGTCAAAAAATTAGGTTTTCATAAATGTGAACATAACCCAGGTCAGATTGAACTAGAAACTAGAATGGTGCTCAGCAGAGCCCAAACCAACCAACAAACAAAAAGGCAGGGGTGAAAACACAACCTTGGCAGAGGATCACTACACTCAAGCATCAACGGAGCTGTGTGCGCCTCCGACCTTTCCGCAGCACACAAGTCAGCTTCAGGTGAGTCGGGCAGTGTATTGCGCTGATTTCATTTGAACTTTCTTCCTTATTTCCCTCCATCTTTTTATCAGCTAATTATTTTTAAATGGTGATTCTGTGCATCCTCACCAAGTTTTGTGTACAAACACCATTAGTGCTGTAACTAAAGATGGTCAAGGTAGAAGTTGAAGTCCAGCCTCTCTGGCTGATACTAATCACTTTTCTAGGTGTAGATCTGCAACCTTGATAATCTTGATAATCAACCTTTGGCCTAGATAAACTCACATTAGGAAGGAATGTGAAGGAATAGGCGTGAGTAATAGTTTACCTCTTTCTATCCTTTTGCTTCAGAGCAACACTTAACTATGTTGTTTTAGATTGACCCCATATTTAATCAGATTAGACTTAGAACCACCCCAAACACACAGCTTGATGTGGCACTCATAAGCTGTTCTGGTATGTTAATCAAAGCATAAACTGACTCACTGCTTACAGTGACACAATTTGAACAGAAGGTTGCACTGATAAATAATTAGAAATGTTTTACTTTGTCATTGTATTGATTAATTTCAGAGGAGTTGTCATATTGACATGTTAAAAACCGTTTTTACTTTGTCAGTTTTTAATTTGTATTTTCAATACTAGATTACTAGGTTGCAACTTAATTTGTTACTTAAAATCCACAAACAAAAGAAAAATATTTGAAATGTTTGATCATTGCTTTGATTTATTTAAGAGGAGTGGTCATTTTGACATGTTTAAAAACTGTTTTTGCTTATTTTCATTATCAATACTGGATTACTAAATTACAACTTCATTTGTTACTTATACTTAGAATCCAACAACAAGAATTTCAAACTCCACTTTCGATCACTGTATAGATTCATCTCAGAGGAGTGGTCATGTTGACATATCGGACTCGTATGTTTCGTCCTCGTGCAGCTGACGCAACGCTCTGGGTGTTTGGCGGCTCGGTGCGACTCGAACAACAAGTCAAACTGTAAGTACTTGGCGCTGAGCCTCACATTTAAGCAGCAGTTGAGGAAATGAAGTGTGTTGGATTAGATTGAGCTGAGTGGAGCAGTAGCAGCGTGTCTCACCTGTGCAGCAGCCTCTCACACTATCTCTTCCTCTCCGCTCGACTCTCGCTCCAGAGGTCCGACTGGTCTGCTGTTGCGCGCGCTGAGTCAATGAACGGCAGCAGGTTTTGCCGGGTTTTACGCACGGTCATTTTCTCGCGTGCCGGTGTCCACAAACATACGCACACATGGAGGCACACGAGGACGCGCACGAACATGCCCCGTGGGCCTGGCAGGCGGTCTCTTGGACTACCCCCAAGCCTCCCCTCCTCTGAAGGGGGGGAGGACAGAGGGGCTAAAGATCTGGTTACAACCAGTTCTTCCCCCCTCGCTCCATGTGCGTCTGCAGATTCCTCAGAACCCCCTGCAACCGTGGGGGGTGCACGCACACACACTCAGCCCTGTGTGCCAGAGAAACTTTGTGATTGAGCGTTAAGCTAAAAGTAACTCCTCAAAATGCACAGTTTTCAATGATTAAATGTCAAAAATAGACTTTTTTTAAATTCGAAAGGCACCATTTCTCCATGTTCCCAATTTACATCATTTACTCTCAGCAAAGGGCTTCACTCTGCAATTTATTTTCCATCAATATCAATACAACAAAAGTCCAGTCCACATTGATAGAATCTTGAACTTTTGGCCATATTGCCCGCTGCCATACTGTCTTTTTAAGATATCACAGACATGTTCAATTGTTTATTTCCCTCAGACTCCATATGGACCTGAGATCATGTAAATGTTGAAGGGATTTTCCATCGTTGTGTTGTGGCAAAGATGATTGTTTGCTGTCCAAATCTCTGACTCCACAGCCTCCCCACTAAATATTCCATCACTGTGACTGTCATCTTGACCATGGACTCAAATCAACTCTCAGATTGCATCAGTGAAACATTAACTTTCGTTTTAGAATGGGGGGTAAATACTGATTATTTTCATCAATATTTACACTTGATGAAGAGGAGGTTGGGTTGGAACCATGTTTCCTGTTTATGAGGCATTTTTAAAGAAATTTGGTTTACCATCGCAGAGTTTCCAAATAGTTGTAGGAAAACTAAAGCAGCTCCCACTTTTTTAAGAATCTAAGTAATCTATTTTTGAATAAAAGGTATTCAGAGGTCAAATTTAATGTGGGCTATCTTTTCAGAAAATGTAATGTAAGAGAACTATCTGATATCGCTCAGTCAATTTCCCCAACCACCCTTAACAAACACAATGTTGTTTTATCCTCTTGCAACCTTACAAATTCACCTCATTGGACATTTCGCAAGACTGTGCAACACCTGCTCAGGTCACATAGCATCATGTTGCAACCTGTGTATTTAACAGAGATGTGTTTTCGTCGCTGTAAAAAGGACAGAATGTGCCAAATTGTGGGTAAACGATTGCACTGCTGGTCTAAAAATAGAACCTGTACCTCAGCGTTTTCCTTATGTTTACTGTACATTATAAAGGGAGCTACTTGGTGAGGTAAATAATGTAGTCATTCAGCTACAGAGCACTCTTTCACATCATTTGGTCACAAAATAAACATCTACCCCGAATTAATCCATTCCCTTAATGCTTTTAAATACGGTGAGACATTCACAGTGTGTTTATATGCTATGTATGTTTTTAATGTTACCTATGCAACATTTGGCAGGTTTTGACCCAAAATGGCCGAGTTTTTCACCCAGTTTCTTCTGACTGGGATGCTGCTGTGTGGGCTGCTGCTCCACACGGTGTCCCAACATGGAGCCAGGGTTGATAATCCCAGCAAGAGGCCCAATTTCATCATCATTCTGGCAGATGATATCGGCTGGGGGGACCTGGATGCTAACCAGCCTGAAGCGAAGGCAAACAATACTCCTCACCTCAACCTGATGGCTGAGCAAGGACTAAAGTATAATCCTTCATATCATTCTTGTTATCTAGCTCTAAATACCATGCGACGTTATCAGTGTCTTGTGTAAATCTACGTTCATTCATCTCATTTCTCTTTAAAAAATCATATTCTTCTTTTCTTCAGATTAACAGACTTCCATTCCCCGGCCTCTACTTGCTCCCCTTCCCGTGCCGCCATTCTGACAGGCCGCTACGGCCTAAGAAACGGAGTGACGCACAACTTCGCAGTGGGCTCTGTGGCCGGTCTGCCCCTCTCTGAAGTCACGTTGCCCCAGCTGCTGCAGGAAGCTGGATATTACACTGCCATGATCGGGAAATGGCATCTGGGCCACAACGGCCCATATGGTCCAACTCATAGAGGTAAGTGCAAGCTTGACATTTACGCCGTTTATCTGTGAGGACCTCACTAAACGTCACAGCCTTAGATCAGGCAGGATTTTGTCAAAGAGGTTTTTGGGTTGAAAGAAAACATTCATCCTTTCAAGTGAAAGCATAGAGATTGATTTCTGGGTTTTTTTCTGTACAGGAATGGATGATAAAAATAGATTCAATTTAATGGTCTTTGATGTAATTTGTTAAGCTACAGTAGAAACAAAGACGCTTTTGTCAACATAAAGGTGAGACTGATAAAGTTTTCTGAAACGGCAAGTTCAGCTGTTGCTGGCCATGGTATCATTCATAAAAGATTAAAGAGAATGTGTTTGGGTTGGTGTAGATTGATTTATTTCTAGAGTTCTCTTGTCTTATCCACCTCTCAAATCTCTTTACAGTACAGGGCATATCCACCCATTCACACACATATTCATACAGAGCCATCAGAGGCAAATCAGCCTCTTGCCCAATGACACTTCAGCACGCAGACAAACCACCAGTAAGGTTGCAGCTTGCTTTATCTCCTGAGCCAAACTTCCCATATATTTACTGTACACAGATAGACTACTGTTCAAATCCATAATATATTTACAATAGCATTCCTATGATACAAATGAAATGCTGTCACATTTAAATTAGGTATTTAAAAAATTTATATGACACAAAATTATGATAGAAGTTAAAACACACTCGTACATACTCCATTTTCTATAGCACAGCATCTTTCCGGTTCATTGCTGAGACTCTCTTTTCCATCGAGTGTGTGAGCGAGTCCATCGACCTCGCTGCCTGGGACAGACGAAACACGGTCATTCCCCTTTAGCTGACTCAACAACCCCCACCCAGCACCACCCTAATAGGGATTAGTGAGCACCATGTCAAGGCCATGTGGTTACCATAATGGCATTAAAAGCCAGTGTGGTTGCAAGGGTTAATAGATAATAACACACAGTGTACAAGACTGAACTCCTGTGTATTGAGTTTGTGTACTACAACACAAAATACATTTCCTTTTGTCTCCCGGACAGGTTTTGACTACTACTTAGGTATTCCATACAGTAATGACATGGGCTGCACTGACATACCAGGATATAACCTGCCCCAGTGCCTCCCCTGTGACACACCTGGACCTCAAGTGCTCAGGTGTGGCTCTGCGCTCACACTCTCACATCCTACTGGAAGTTGTTCTACTGACGGATGCTGTTTTGTTTGACAGTTAAATTGTTTCTACACAATACAATCCAGGGTTAATCCTGGATCTTTTGGGTTACGACGCTGGTTTACTTCAGATCAAAACCTTTCAGCCTGACTACTGACAATCAATCACATCACTGGATAACCAGACCAATTACTCCTACTGGATCCTGACAGAGACAAAAGAGTAACAAATCCTTTTCTTCATCTGCATAATATATTGTTAATAGTTTGTTTGAAAAAAAGCAAAAATACTAAACTGCTCTATAAATAAGAATAATTACAGTATATCCTTACTTGGACTTAACTGGAAAAAGCTTCTAGTACTTTTTCCTATTCTTGTTCTGTTATTATACTGTATACTGATACTACATATCACTTTCAAGCACCTCGTCTTTCAACGTTGGATGTGCTTACTTTTGTTTACGTTCTCAGTTTTTATCTCTCCTCATATTGTTCTGAGCTGCAGTGACAGATTCAGAATAAAAGCATTGACACTGTCACAATCAAAGAATCTTTTTTTCTGTGATCGTTTTTCCACATTAATTAAGGGTGATGAACTCTTTCTCCGTTTGTTGGAAGCTCTTTTGTCCCAGTCAGGATCCTGGAGGAATTATTTATTTTTCTGTAATCTGATTTGTCTGGAGGATGCTTCAGGAGATAAGGTCAGGTGAGAACATGCTGTCGATCTTTTCTCCTGAAGGTAACCTTGTTTACATCTGGGCAAACACAAACAGAATCCGACAATAAAGCATCAAGTGCTTCCTCTGGATTGTAAATCCCTGCACCTCCAAATCATTTCACCACTTGACAACATTACTCACACGAACACTCTTGCACACACACATTCTCCACTCATGTTGTTATGTTCTAGGTTGAAGAGGAGTGTGCATGAAGCCTGTTATTCCAAAGTGGGTCTACCTCTGATTGAAAACCGCAGTATTGTGGAGCAGCCGCTCAACCTATGGACGCTAACAGAGCAGTACAAATCTGCTGCAGCCAGGATTATACAAAATGCAAGGTACAATACAGCTGGCACAGTTGACATTTTGACATACAGATGCACAAACAGAGCTTGATGCAGTTTCATTTTAATGAAGAAAACTTACAGTCGGCAAGTGGATGACTAGGCAGATGAGTTGAAAGACAGCACGTAGGAGCGGACATGAGTCTAAGGAACACAAGGAAACATCACCAACAAAAGTCAAATAACCTGTCAAAAACAATAGAGAAAGGGCGATAATGAGAGGTGCCGGGTTGATTTGGAGTAGAGAAACTGGTTTGTGTGTATGGGCGGGGCAGGACAGGTAAGTGGGAACATGGAGGAAAGTTTGAGGACATCTGGTGGGTGACAAGAGGGAGACAGGGAGATGAGGGGAGGCTGGAGACCGGAAGCAGAGGAGAGCAGAGGGCAGAGGCTCAGGATGAAAGTCTGTCTTCCTCATCATATAGCTGACAATATAAAGTATTATTATGGTATATACATGTTCATATACTATGGTCTGGATCACAATGTGATGCCAAATTATTTTCTTGTACTGAGAAAACAGCACGGAAGATTTCAATTGATATCATTACCAGAGTGTGACTTAAATGCTTGAGTGGTTCTCTGATGTTACTGAAGCTTTAGGGATTAAAGATAGATTTACTGAGTGTGATCGAGCAGCTTTTGTTTTAGTCAAACTGGTCCACATATCATTATCATGACAGGGCAGGGCAAGGCAGGGCTGGTTTATTTATATAACACCGTTCTCACTCAAGGCAAGGCACTAGCCAAAGTGCTTTACAAAGGCACATAAATACAGTAACAACTGTCACCGCGCCAAATTACACATACTCATCAGAAACAGTTCCCTGTTTTTGTTTTTTTTAATTAAGATCCTTGTTTCCTGGCAAATTGGTGAAAGTGTAAAAAAACTCACAATGATAAAGAAAGTGAAAAACAACATTCCTTAATCCAGGTCAGCAATTAATGGGTTCTTTCTTGGCCCATGTCCCATCCTTCCACAAAATTTAATAGAAATCCATTCATTAGACTTTGCGTAATCCTCCAACAGACATGGGTGAAAACATAACCTCATTGGTGGGTGTAGTGGAGGATTTAATCAGAAGTTCTATACATAGTGTATTCATAAATACACTGGCAGTTTTAGCAGACCCAAAGTCAGACTCAAAAACAAGCTTTCTTTCATTTCTAGCTGTAGGAAATTCTGACACATCCACTCACTGACTGGTTCAATGATCTAATTCAGAAGATGTTAGGTTAGTTCCATCATGTGGTGGCACTTAAATGTAGAGATTAGTCATCTGCAAATTATGATGATATGGTATTCCATAATCTGAGTAATTGGAGCATGTGGATGTTGAACAAAAGAGGTCAGAGAACGGACTCTTGAGGAACTCCAACACAGAGAGTAAACGTGTATCTTCTGTTCGTTTTACTCAGCGGCCGGTGAAACCTGGTCTGTCAAGCGCTTCTGATTCTCTTACAGAAAGTGTGTGAGGGTGAAACATGAGAACTGAAAGAAATCAATTATTAGTCCAGAAGAGACTGCTGAGGAAGTCAAACATATTTGTTGATATAGGCACGAGGAAGAGAAACAAACACACTCTGGTGATGTATTTTTAAAAGGTTACCTGCTATGTTGTTTCCCCTGTCAAGTAAAAATTGGTAACCTGATCACAGCAGAACCAGAGCTACTTTATTCCTAGAGACTGTAATAATACATGTAAAGGTCAAGGTCAGTGTCCCCTTTCTCAACCCTATGCTCCATTACCTTCTACACCATAATAATAATGATAATAAATACATTCTGGTCTGTGGCTGTTTCTTTACAGTTGCAGATCTGCAATCAAACCCACTTTAGTTTCAATCTGTTTGGGTTGTAGTTGTTTTTGCCAAAATATTACCTGCGGACATATTCATTTGTACAGTTGCACCCAACTACAGTTAACTGCCTTTCACATGCACGGGTATGACTGCGGGCTGGGAAATGATCCAGCTGGGAAATGATGCAAGAGCGTATTTAGAGTTTTACAACCAATCAGGGTGTCCTCCTTTGTCACAATTTCTTTCTTTCTTTTTGGGGGAAATAGAAAAGTTCTTTAGTTAATACACATGAGTTGCTTAGACTTTGGCTAATTGTTATTACAAAAAAGATAAAATGACATCAGCTGGATTCAGTAGCATATGAAGCCTGGGAAAATAGACTGCCTGAGCTAATATATATATATATATTATATATATTTATATATATATATTTCCAACAAAGTTCTATCCACAAAATATACTTTGATATACTAAAGTTCACATCTACGTGTTATATGCTATTATTGCTCTACACTTTTTACCCCTAAACTTTTATAGGCTAACAGGAAATGGTTGCTTTCCATTGAGGGGTTCAGCTCCAGGATAATGTTATTGTTATATCTTATAGTGCTGCAAGAAGACACAATCTTTAAATCAAGAGCACGTCTTGTCATAAGATCTCTCAGAGAAGCATTTGTCCATATAAACTATGTGACACTTTATTAACTGTCTTTTCAGTGAGCGACGGCAGCCCTATCTGCTATACATAGCTTTGGCTCACATGCACGTTCCCCTGGCTCCTCCACTCTCTCCAGACGCCACCACATCTAACCATCCAAATGACGGCAGGGTGTACGGTGCCAGTCTGCGAGAGATGGACAGCCTGGTGGGGGCAGTAAAGGGCACTTCTGATGACACAGACAAGAACAACACTCTCATCTGGTTCACTGGTGAGTCCACTGGATGAGTTATGTCTGTTCTTAGACACTGCTGTTGGAACTGTTATTGTAGAAAAGTTGTGTTTGTGTGTTTCTAGGGGACAATGGTCCTTGGGAACAGAAGTGCCAGTTCGCAGGAAGTGTGGGACCTTTCATAGGGAAGTGGCAGACCAGCAGAGGTATAGAAACATAGTTTTATAATAAAGTAAGTAGTTTGATAACTTGGTCTAAGCCCTAAGGCTATGAGAAGGACATAAAGGAAACACTTAATTTAGATCTGACAGTTGCTCTATGAATGAACGATGTAGAGATGATTTACCTAATCAATATGTTGTGGAAATGTTGGGAGTTTGTGAAAGTAGAAAGAAATGTACCATTAGAGGTAATAAAGTCAAGTCGGCAGCAGGAAATGTGCTCAGCAGCTTAAAGAAGAGAGGAAAGTGGAGCCAGAGCAGGGTAGATGAATACATCACATAAATTGCAAAATAATGAGGTAGGTTAACAACAAACAATGCAGTTAAAGGTTTATTCATTTACATTAAATAAATGTATGAAATAAATTATAACAAACCAAATATATAAAATAACAATACTGTGGGTGTGGAGCTGCATTACCTATATGAGATCTGTCCCCCACAGGCCTGTGGGTCTAATGGGGCGCCTGTAGAACTGCTCCAGATGTGCTGTGGTTTTGTAAAGGCTTATTAGTGAAGCACAGACTTAGCAGCTCACTCTTTAGGGATCTTTATTCCAAACGAGAATGTTGATGTATGACTCTGAAATATCTGTCTCTGTCAACTCAGTGTAGACGGTAAGCTTGCTAAGTGTACAAGTCTTTCAAGGTCTCAGTGCAGGAAGCCTGACTACCAGGTTTTTCTGGATGCTCGGGGCATACCAGGCTGATCAGTTCAGGTTTGATCAACAAAGAGGAAAAGAGCAGACTTGAACGTGGTTGTCTTGAGGGGATATGTTACTGCAGTGTTGCAGCAGTTGGAGGTTAGAGTTGCGGCAGGATGTACAATTTGACTGTAAGTTGTTCAATGGCCACAGAGGACGTCATTAAGGCATTAAGTGTGTTGTGGGGGAGCGAGGGGGGTAGTGTTTACCCCCTAGATGTAAATGACAAGAAAACTATTGCTACCACCAGACAGAAAGCTGCTGCATGAGGTGAACACTTGCCCCAAAATTCAAGCAAATGGATGGTGAGAAATGACTTCACTGTAGCTCATTCAACCAGGGAGAATTAAGACAATCTCGTGCTGTGGTTAGTAACATGGTGATGCATGTTTTGTGGAGCTGAGGATACAGTAGTAAAGGCCTAAAGCTTAAATATACAGCAGGCTGTGGTGGCAGAGGGGTGGTGCTTGCCTTAACTGTGTTCAGTTGCATGGTAGTGGCTGGAGCTGTTGCACATCATATTGCTGTGAATCCTCATATTCCTACACTGATCTTTTTCCTGCGTGTGAGGTGGAGGCTCGGCTAAGCGGACCACGTGGGAGGGAGGTCACAGGGTGCCGACAGTGGCCTATTGGCCTGGAAAGATCCCTGCTAACACCACCAGCTCTGCCCTGCTCAGGTTCTTTAAGTTATTTTACTGATACATAGAGATTCAAACACTTCAAATACTTTTGGAATATAGAATTTTGTCTACAGGCAAAAAAGTGCTCTCTTCTCATCTTTGTGCTCTCTTGCAGTGGGATGGACATCTTCCCAACTCTTTTGTCTCTGGCAGGGGTAACACCTCCAAGAGACAGACGTTACGATGGCATAGATGCCACAAATATCCTCCTGCGAGGTGAACACAGCGGTCATGAGGTAAGAGCTAGTTTTTGCTGTCAATCTCATATTGGTGTTCCCTGACTCTAGCCTAATGTCAGCTGGGATCGGCCCCAGCCCTGCCTCACTGTGGTGAGATAAAACATTATCTGTGGTGTAGATACTGGATGGATGTTTTTTTACTTTGGTTTATTAAAGCTCCACCAGGGAGAGAATGTTTTCAGCCCTGTCTGTTGGTTTGTCTGTTGGTTAACTAGTTAACTATTTTGGTGAGGGGATGGGACATGGGCCGAGAAAGAACCCATTACATTTTAGTGCTGATCCCAGAATGTTTTTTTTCTTCCCCCAACTTCCCAAAGAATAAATCATAGATCTTATTAAGAAATATCAGGCATATTCAGACGACTGGCATTTATGAGTGTGTGCAATTTGGCGCAGATTGATTGAAGTTAAGGGGACTGTCGGGCCTTGGCGGAGGTACTGTATGTGCTCTACTGAGTGACATCATAGATTAGTCAATGTAGGCGTGCATTAGGATCTTGCTGCAGACATTAAATTCCTCTCATCTTTTTTTTGTAGTTTCTTTTTCACCCTAACAGTGGCGCTGCGGGGGAGTTTGGTGACCTGCAGACAGTTCGATCAGGGAAACACAAAGCGTTCTACATCACAGGTCAGTGGCTTCCACCTCACTTAGCTTCCACCTCACTTAGTCCCACTTAGTGAAGTTAGTAGACATGTTTGACCAAATTAAATGATTGTACAGTGATGATGATGCATGTTGGTGGTGCCTCACCACCATGTTGGATGGTATGCAGAACATTATGTCAGTGTGGTTGTCAACAGACAGCGTGTGCAAGAAGCTGCTGCTTTTATATAGTGGAGGAATATGAATGTAAAATGAGATGCTAGAAATTAGCATATGTCATAAGTGGTATTAGATAGTTAAAATGACAATTTTTTACAAAAATGTGAGTCGCAGCGAAGAGTATACTAACACACATCTCTGTCCCATTACAGGTGCAGCTGAGGCATGTGGCGGTGCAACAGGGATCCAGCAGCTCCATGACCCACCATTGATATTTGACCTAGAGCGTGACAAGGCCGAGGAAACACCCCTGGACGCCGGGACACATGAGCACCGGGTGGTAGCAGAGAGGGTCGCCCGCGGGAGGGAGGAGCTGTTGTGGGACATAGCCACAGACGAGTCTGTGTCTGCAGCTGACTACAGGACGGACAAATCAGCAGCACCCTGCTGTGACCCGAGTCAGGCTGTTTGCCGCTGCCACGCACCAGGCCGAGGAAAGGAACTCACTCACAGAAAGAGAAGGACACAGATGTGAGACAACAACACGTGGTGACAAATATCAGCTCCAGGATGTGCTCAGTTGTTTGTTTGTAGAATGAGCTGTTTTGGAGGTTCAACGTGCAGACGCAGCAGGAAATGTGTAAACAAGCAGAGAGAGCAAATAGAAGAACTCTGGCCTGTGATTGGCCAGGTGGTGGAGAAAAGGTCGGGGTGAGGTAGTACTCCATAATGTCAATAATTTGATCTATCAAAACATGACAGCTTAGTTGTGCTTCAGTCAGTGGATGATTTATTGCAATGTTAATCATTAGGAAGCCACGCTGTTTGTTTAACAATGGACTTTGCAGACTATAAACACATGCATTTGGTATTTGATGAGATTTAATGGGGTATTTTAATATCATCACAACTTAGTATATGTTACTTTTAACAAATATTAATTAGACAGTGCAATGGTTGATCATTTCTCAGCTTTAATGAGTCTCTGTGGTGAACTGAACAGCTCAATGCAGCGGAAAGGTGTCCTAACAGTGCCACCTTTTGGCAACAAATTGTATTACCATATTACTTATTACAACAGTACTATATATAAATGTTATATATATATATATATATATATGTATATATATACACATTATACACAAAATCCTCAATATATATTTATGCATGGTAAGTCTATGCATTGATGTGTAATACTTCAAAACGTTTTTCAAAAGAATATTTAATGTAAAGTAAAAATGAGCTGGACTTGCACATTAACACACTATTCAGCATTGCGTCATAAAATAAAAAAGGTCTTCAGGATATCACTGAAATCCACGGACGCGTACGTTTTTCATCACGGGCAGCTCGTCGTCAAGATTTTCACATTTGGGATCGGCCACAGAGACGACTCCTACACACGTATCATCAGGTTATGTTTGTGACTTCGCGATATAAGTCTGTCGCTACCTTAATTAGCATCTGCAAGTCATACTTACTGCATGTATGAGGGTTTAAATAGTGTGTCACGCTTACAGCATCTTTATTTCACTCTAATGCCCTTCAAAAAGCTCCAAATGTCATGCAGCCTGATTGATAAAAATTCCCTGATGACAGATATTCAGATGTTAAAGATTTGTATGTGATGGAAAGAAAATACTAACAAAAGATTACACTGCTTTTTGCAGATTATCGTCAATAGCACTTGGCTTGTACGAAGCTTCTAAAGCGACTTTAGTATCTTTCATAGATAAAGGTTTTGAGAATTTGGGGCATCGATCCTCCACAACAGCTGCTGGTCAAAACTCTACTAATACCTTGGTATATTCAGTCTGCTCACGAATGCCTGGGCCACACTGGGTGCATGTGTAGTGTGTGACACACGTCTGTTGGTCACACAGGGAGCATGTCTGCCGCACACAGGTATTTCTGGTATGACGACTATATTTCCTGGAATAAAAGTAGAGCTATGTATTCAACTTAATGTCAGGACATTACGATATGAAGCTGTGCATCCTCCAGTCCCAATTACAATAGAATCCTTGTTAAAACAAATGACATTGGAGAAAGACTGTTTCACCATCTATTTTACTGTGAACCGCGCACAGCATGAGGAGAAAATAGGCGTGATGTTCCGCAATGCACACGCACTGCTCATGCATCCAGTGTGGCCCGGGTGTTATATTGTGCTGGACCAATCACATACTGGTTGCTACCATGATAATATAATGTCCCCACGATGTCAGGTCCTTATTTAAAGACAAGTTTTAAAAACTGTTTTTTTATGGCGGAATATGAGAGCTAACAGTGGGACAGTCTTTAAATCTGTTTCAGTCTGTTAAATCTGTACTGACTCTTTTTTTAAAATATTCCTTACAAAACGTGAGAGGGATGAAGATTAAACCGAAACACATCACTCTGGCACGTTTTGACCCAAGGCCAGCAGAGGTACATGTACGGGAGTGGGTGGGGGGGTGCCACAACGTCTCAACACGTCAGGAATATGTTTGAAGTTTTCCAGCCTGCATCCATGCTCCAAAGCAAGTTGAGTCGGACTGTTCGCAGGGATGGGAGGGTTCATGGTGGGGGGTTTTGGTCAGTTACTCTGGTTGCCAACTGGGGGAAACTCGTTCTCATCATCCAGACAGACGGGGCTCTCGGCGAATTCATGCTCCGGGATGACCTCGCCTTTCTGGGCTCCGCCTTCCTCAGAGTAACCTGAGGAAGAGAGGTAAGGAGGCAGCTGAGGTTTTTGTACCATTACAGGTTTCAGGTCTGGATTCACAAAACCTAAGAAAACTCAATTTTAGAGCTTCTTAAAATGAAGCCAATCAGACTCTAATCATCGATCATTTTAGGGTGGTAGCCTACCCATGAGAGTGGTGGCAGAGGGTGGGGTTGAAGGGAGTGCCACAGTGGCAGCGTATGATTGGCTGGTTGGTTGGGGAGGGACATCCTCTGTTTTCTCCTCTTCGCTCTGTTCCACCTGCTCCTCGCAGGAGTCAAACAGCCTGCGGGGACAGAGCGGACTGAGACTCCACAACATCACAACGCACGACACGGTGATTATATAAGACAAGTTCAGATAGTAGAGGTGGAAACTTGAAAGTGTCCCACTGTCACACATTAACACACACTGGATTTGCCTGATTTGTCCTATTTAAATGTTGTTGTGTTAAAAATAAGTAATAAGTAGAGCATTTCCTGTAAATGTACAATACATTCCAGTAGATTTCATGAGTTGGGCATCTTCTACATGTATGGAAACAATTTTTCCTCCTGAGCTATTTGTATTCTTCCAGTTTCACGTCTGTCATATTTTCCAGTCGTATTCTCTCTTGGGCTCACTCAGACATTTTGCCGATATCTTTACTAACCCTGAAATGTTAGCAACTGGCTAGGACATTTGGGTGCTCACATTCAGCACAACTGGAAAATTTCAGGAAAATGTAAAGCAGCTTTATAGTAATGACGGACACCTAACAAAATAATTTTAACGTTACATTTATATTTATGCATGATGCAGCCCATAAAGGCACACACACCTGTGTCTTTGGACAAGGACACACTCGCCTCCATCCTGTGGATCCACATTATAGATGTAGAGATATCCGTCCGAGGACGCCACCACTAGGCGAGGGAGCTTCTGAATCCTGACAAACAAAACACACATGAGATGTCAATGAACCTACACATTCATACACTTGTTAACAAATGCTTCTCTCTTTGTCTTACGTGGCCAGGGCGCAGATGTTCTTCAGGCCGAACATGTTGAGTCGTACAGTCGCAAAGGCTCTGTCCTGATGCATCATGTCGGACACCTGAGTGGGCAAATAGGTGCTGGCTGCTGTGAACATTTTACCCACATACGCTGACCATGTAGGAGACTCCTCATCCTGACTGGAAGGAAAAAAGAGGGGTCATGATTTAAAATGTAAAGAAATAGCATTTTAAGATTAATAAATCACTACAGGAGCTTTTTTCTGTCCAGATGAATTTGACATATTAAGGCACTTTTAGTTGAAAACACGTTGCCTTGTTTTACATCAGCGATACAGCAGATGGTGCTGTTCATTCAATTGTCCTTCGAAGAACCATGAAGGGGTCAGAAAAGGACACAGGAGGCTTTAAATACACGGAATCATGTCATTGCAAGTTGTTTTGGGAAAAATGCACATGCAAAATATTTGTAATGTTATGTAAAGGGGAAAACATTTCATCATAGATTTAAAAAAAATCCAAATAACAAGGTTAATTATGACCTGGATGAAAGCACCAGCAAAACCACAACAGCATCATCAGCACTCTGAAGCTGGTTAGTCAGTAAATTCATGTTTCGATCCATAGAAAACAAAATGCGCATTTAATGTGTCATGTAGAAACAAAGGTCCTGTTCAGACCAGGTGTAAACATCTGTGCGAGAGATCCGATCACAAGGGGGCAGCATTAAATATGTGTATTCACACCTGGCATTAAAATGAATCCAGAATGTGTCTCCTCTTGCGTAACACCGCTCAATATGCAAATGATCACAAACTTCCTTTGTGTTAGTGAAAAGCAAATGATGTTGTACCCAGTGTGAGTTTACAGACATGATACTGTGTCAGTGTGAGTGAAAGACAGAATTCGAGAATGAGTGGGACTGAATTCATGAGTGTGCACCGCTATAAAGACTGATTTGACCAATTCAAGAAAAGTATCAATCATTATGTGGTGATCAGTGTTGATATTATATCAGTGGCTACTACTGAGAAGCTTCCGATAACCGTTTTAACTGTAGCGGACCTTTACTTGGCGCTTACCACTTGTGATCAGCTCACTCAGGACGGATGTTAGTATCAGGTCTAATCGTGGTCAAAGAGTTGACAGCATTTACCTTGGGCTGTGCTGCTCCAGTTTAAAGATGTGGACCGTCTCAGTGTTGCTGGAGGCGCACAGGAACTGGGCATCAGCACTGAAGGACAAGGAACTAATACTGACGTACCTGACACACACAAGAAACAAACATGGAGAGCATCAATTACTGAAAACACAAAGATGAAATCTGATCATGTGCTAAAACGTTGAGTGACAACAGCCTCTCCAGCTACTGAGCATCAGGAGTTAAGTGTCTTACTCATATAAACACTAAGTATTGAGTATTAGGCCTGTGTATCATCTTGATCACTGTCTATGCACAGTTTGCTTGTTTCGGATTTAACTATGAAGATGTGAGCACTGACCTCTTCATCCCTCGCCGGAATTCAAACAGTCTCTGACCTTCAGGAATGCCGAAGACTCTAATAACAGTACCCTATGTTGCAGAGGATTGATGGTTAGACAGAGGGATAGCAAAAGTGAAAAAAGGGGGGAGTTAAGTCCTCACCTTCTCTGAGGCGCTGGCCAGTTTGGTGCCAGAGGGGTTGAAGGTGAGGGCTGCCAATGGACTGTCGTGGGCCTGAATCAGTGTCACAGTGCTCTAACAAAAGCAAACAAGTGCTTTTTCATGACACATGACAACAGCAGTATTTCTTTCCATCAGTGGTTGTGTTAGAAAATTCAATGCAGCCTTACCAGGTTGTTGGCATCATAGATTGTGATCTCCCCGATGGTGGCACTGCCAGGGTACGCCAGGTAGGAGTTACTGTGGTTGACGGAAAGAGCGCAGAGACCTACGAGGGAGTGCAGAGGATGATTTAAGCCGTTTCATGTCTTTATTCGCTTTCTTCCAGACTCCTTTTGGGCCAATTGTGAAGGCTGGTTCATCTGTTATCTACATGTATCTGGGGCCATTACTAAAAAAGTCTTTCTCAAAAGGTTCAATAGAGACTGATGACAGTATAAAATGTCTTCAATTATTCAGCATATTTGTTGTCAGTTGTCAAGGGGTTTCTACCAGGTAAACCAATTCATAATACATTAAAGTGAACAAATGCTTAAATCAATATAATATAAATAGTTGAATGATTTGATTTTTCTGTATTTTTCCATGTTTAAATCTTTACATGCTTAAGAATTATTGTAAATACAAAACATAACCACAAAATAATAATGGGTCGGACAGAGGGATGCTTGCCAAGATTCACCTAAAATTAATTGTAGGAACATTTTTAATATGTATAAATACTGTTAAAAATTGAATTTAAGACTTCTTTTAAATTATGAGTATTTATCTTACAATACTCTGCACCCCTCTGAGTAGCTTTAAAGCAACAGCAGTCTTCATCTTCCAAATGAAAAGTGTATATAGTCCTAAAAAAATGCACTCACGCTCACTTACTGGTTTTGCTGCTACAGCCGTAGTGGATGTGGTTTGAGCAGTGTGACCAGTAGCTTCTGGTGGCTAATGTTAGCACACTAAAGACAGATTTTGCTCCACAACTGACATTACTACTTAATGACTGTCAGGATCATGAATTTATGGGACTATATTCTCCTGACTTTGCCTCCTGTATAAGGAGAGTTTATGATTAAATTATAGATTCCTTATTCATTTGGCCTTTTTCCTGTCTCCTTGTGTTTATGTTTATATTTATGTTTTCTCCATGAGTTCTGCTTCCTGTTTTATTTTGTAGTTCCTGCTCCTTGTGTGTTTTCCACCCTGGCTTCCTGTCTTTGTCCTATTTCCCACCCTTGTGATTGTCTGCACCAGTTGCTCATGTGCTTCACCTGTGTCCAATTTCCCCAGCCTCCCTTGTGTATATAAGTCTCTGTGCTTCCCTTTGTCTTGGGTGTACCTGAGGGGTTGGTGGGTGTGTTGAGCAGGGTCTTGAGTAGTTTCATGTCTTTGATATTGTGGATGTAGATGGACTCCTCCAAACACACCACCAGCCGCTGAGGGGACAGTGACACATGGATTAGTAAGGAACCAGAGAGATTACAGGTTGCGGACGAGTCTATTTCCTACTTCTCACCTGTCTGTTGAGCCTGACGGACAGGATGTTGTTGGAGTAACTGTAGTTGCATATCTCTGTACCCTTCTTGAAGTGGTAGACGTTCATTCGCCGTGGCATGGAGAGGCTGACCACCACCACCAGACTGCTGGAAAACAGCCGCTCCACTATATACACGTCCGGACATTCGACTGGGAGAGGGACGAGAGGAAGAGCCTGGATACAGCTGGGTACTTTGACTTGGAAAAGCTATGGAAACTTAAATCTACTGACATCTATTGCACTTCTGACCATCCTTGGAGAAGGAACCCCTCACTGTGACTCTCTGGGGTTTTTTGGGGGGTAGTTTTTCATCACTCTAGGGTTACGGACAGAGGATATCCACTGTATCTTTAAGCCCTTGGGATTTGCGAATATGGGCTATACAATTAAAATTTGATTTAATGATTAAATGTAAGCTTATATCACCAATAACACATAGGAGAATGCTGCATTAACTTCTGTTCGATACTGATGCATTGGAAGACACTTTAACAGCTTTTATACACTCTGCATTTTGCCAACCAAGACAAACTTTTTCTCTTAATGCAGCCTCTGAGTATTAGAAAACTGAGTGTTCCTCCATATTGACCACTATATGCAGAACATGTTGTGGCCCGTCTGAGCTGATGTATGACCAAGGTGAACTGTACTTCTTTAAGTCTGTCACCTTGCTGTTAACGACATGTCTTCTGAGGGAGGGGATGCTGGTGTGTACGCATAACAGGAGATTTCATGGACACCCACAAACATGTACATTCTGTACCGTGGATGTGGGAGCTGTCACGCATGCACTCGATGTTCCTGAGAAAAGAGTCTACAGAGCAGATTTCTTCCTACCTCCCTGATGGATGCAATCTAGTTTGTCCACAGCAGTGACTGAGAAGAGCTGGTAGCCCGTCTTGATGCCCACAGACAGAGAACTACAATATAAACACACAAACACAGAAGATGTTATAAACCACATCCTCCACAGTTATAGTAAAAAAATAACAATACTGTGATTGACTGACTGACTTATTGATACTGCATTTGAGGTGAAATTCCAGGAAACTTTTATTGTCTGTAAACGGATAAATGTATTTGGTGTGCAACTAAAAGATGACTGTCCATGCACTCACATACAATCAGTGTAGTATAATATTGCAGACAACAGGGAGTGAAATCTATATAAAGGATGTTATAAGACACTGGCCTCATGACTGTTAGCTTCCATTAGAGAGTTATTCCGATGGTGTTGGATGAGTGTGATCATCACATACTTGCGGCATGTGCTACATGAGCTGACGTGACTTCTTTACAAGAAAACTGATAACGCAAGTGTTGTGGGTGTAATAGTAGCAAATCGCCATAACTGACAGGAGACGGTTACTGGGTCCGACCTGAGCTTGAGTTCACCTGAGGAGGTGCTCAGTATCCAAAGGTGGTGTGGTCCCCCCCCTCCAGTCTATCTTATCTTTATTAGACAACTTAGCCGTTATGCATCTTCCATTAAAAACCTGAGAAGTGCCTCAGAGATTTTCCCCCTTATCTTATCACGGCTGAAGACAATGAGTGATAGAATGACAAAGGGATAAGAAGACCGGGCTGAGTGTTGGAACACCTGCTTAGTTTTGCAAGCAGCACCAGGGTGGATGTTTATGTACCTGTAAAAGAAAAACACAGATCTCGGTGTGTCTGTTAATTTGTATTGTACCCTCTAATAAGGCATTTACATGGATAATGGACACCTACAGCTCATATATGATTGGCTGACATTAGTGGAGAAGACAAAAATGACACAGGAAAGTTGTTTCCAGTAAAAATTGACGAAACACATTTACTGCTACTGTTGCATGTTAATTATTAACTGTACGTTTCTCATTACTATGCATCATGTTGGAGTTACATAGCCTGAACTGTATTTGGTTACTAACTGTAGTTTAATGTGCAACAGGCCCAGAAGATTAGCTCAGTGGCCTACTTCACTTTCGGCTGAAGTTTCTTATAAGCATACACAAGCTTGTTGTGTGGTTTTGACGCACACACACATCCACACTGTTTTAAAAATGACCCGCAGAGTGTCGATACGATTGAAAACAATTATGCAACAGTAAGGTGCATGGAGGGAGATTGAGTTCACGCCGGGCCCGGGCCGCGGGGTCGCTTACGTGGTGTCCTGGTTGAACGAGGCGCAGATGAAGCCTCTGTCCGCCGCGGGGCCCTCCGGCGCGTCCTGGGACTCCATCCGAGCCGCCGAGCTCGCTCCCCGTCTCGTCGGCCGAGGTCGGAGGCCTTTGGGCTCGGGTCGATCCCCGCTTCCCCCCCTTCCTCTGGTGCCCCGACTCCAAGCGCCACGCTCACACTCTTCTCCGGGGAGAGGAATGTCCGGGGCTGAGGTTCAGGTGGTACACATCACACACACACACACATCACACACACACACCGAGCGGACTGACCCGAACAAAACACCCGAGAACCCCCCTCCTCACCGAGCCGCCTCCTCCGGTCAGCGCGGTGTTATTATTGTGTTAATAACTTTCAATATTCTCACTGCAAAACAAAAACAGCTGATGGGAGGATGCGTCACTCCGAGCCGCGTGGGGATTGGCTGGCGGCTGCACGTCGACACGTCCTCTCCTGGATTTCTATTGGTGGAGCTGCCTAAAGCCGAGGATCGATTTGATTGCGCAACCGCCAATCAAATAGGGACCGCCCAGTTGGAGGTAAGAAGCTGTCTATTGGCCGGTTTCACTTTCAGTCTTGTCACGAGGAATTGTTTTGATGATTTCATTGGATGAAAGACGCGCAGCAAGCTGCCGCGGCACATCAGCCCTCCCAACTGTGGGACAAAGCGTCTTGTTGTTGTTAAAACCTCATTTCACTTTTTAACGTGTTTTGTATTTGTTATTCATTATGTATGTTTTAACTCTATTTTATGCTACTTCATATTGAACACTATATTTTAGAGAAAAATACAGTGCTTTTGAGTCGACTGATAACTTTAGCTACTTTCAAGATGTAAAACAAGTATTTTTTTCCTGTCAAACTAAATTATCTGACTCTGAAAGCTATTAAAATCCTTCTTACACTGTAATAACGATTCAGTAACATTGATTACAATAATTAAACACTTATATATCTGTGCATGGACTATTTTAGATTTTGTTAATAACAATTCAGTTATTTTATGTGAGTAACATCCTGAATGCAGTACATACTTATATTTGTGTGGACTTAAACACTTCATCCACCCCGCCATAGGCACTGTGGTTCATAGATAATGAGTGAATTTTCATTTTTGGGTGAACTATCCCATTAAAGAGTTCCCTCTTGTTTTAAATGCAATAATTAAACTTCAGGAATCTCCACTAATCTCTAAATAAAAACAACGAGTAGAGTTTCCTATAATCAAGGTTACATTTAATCAGGTTATTAATCGATTTTTTTCTTTTTTATTGCTGAACGACTTCCTTGACGTCACGATTTCCGCGCGGTCCCCTTTAAGGTTGCCAGGGGTTACGGGCTCACATGTCAGAACGAGGGGAATTGACGTCAGTGGCGGCCGCTGATTGGCTGCTGGCCGTATCCGGTGGGGCAGCGGTCCAGGGCTCGGGGAAAAAAAATCGAAGCGAGGAGGATCTGGTAACGGTTCGCTCCTGAAAAACATCGTCCATCCCGAGTCTCTAGCGAAGGACTCGGCAGGAATTCTTACACTTTCCCGTGAGTATCCGCGTCTCTTCCAGTTCGCGGAGCGCGTGACCTCTGAACAGGCTTAAATGTGTTTCCTCCGTCGCTCGTTTGTTTATGATAGAGCTCAAGATGGCGTCATTACAGGAGAGCTTTGCCTTTGCACGGAGCTAGCAAGCTAGGCATCAAACCAGACGCGCTCTCTCACGTTACGCACGTCAAAAACATTCAAGCTGAAGTGCACGACATTCGTTGTTATCACCTTTTTGTTGTCGTCTTGTGTTTTTGAATGTGCGCTCGGTGGTATTTCTGTGGCTGTGAGCTACTTGGCTGCAGCCGTCAGCCTCCTCGTGAAGCCTTCCTGACCTAGACGATGGTTCACACAGGGCATTTGCTTCACGTTGTCTCTAAAGGCGATGACATTCACTCAGTTTGAACACCTTTCGTTCCTGTGCACCTTTCATCCTCCTCTGTTCTCTGTTGTCACTTTTTCAGCAAGGTCATTCGTGCATCGCCGTGTTGTATCAGATTGAATTGACAGCCCTGTTCTCAGTGTCAGCAGGGAGGAAGCTGCAGATCAGGAACCAACCAATTCACATATTAGCTGTATAATGTAGATGTTTTACCTTAAATAACTGAGACGATTAAATAACTAATGTATAAGGCTGGTGAGTCCTATTGCCTGGAGCTGGTAATTTATACCACATGGTCTGAATATACTTCTGTATAAGGTTCAGATTAAAGCCACCCTGCCAAGTTTCCTCCACAAGTGTGTTTAGTGACAGCCTGGGCCAGCCTCATCTTTGATAACATGTCTAGTAATCTCCTTTAGACCTTGTCAGATTAGAAATTATCCAAATCCTATTATACTAATGCACATGCATGATGAACTTGCAGAGACGGGTTTTCTCCACAAGACTCTGTTGGCATAATTACATTTACTCATTTACAGTTTCTCATCTTAAATGCACTTATTGTTGGTTACAGCACAGGCCTTTTCCTCAGAGCACTCTCTGTACAAGCTGATATCATTGAGGCCGATCAGATGATCTGGGATCTGTCAGGCTGTTTTGCTCAGCAACAGTGTTGTGTCTTGAAATGTTGAAACCTCGAGCAAATGCACTTTCTTTTATGCTTTGGTCTGTTTCACACTGGATTGATTCACTGGCCTTCACCATTCGTCTAAAATTAGGCCTCGGCTGTGATAATGTTTCAGCTGTAGCTAGTTACTGTCTCTGTGACAGAGGGTTTCATTCAGGGTGGTGAAAAACTCTTAATTGTTTTGAATAAATAAACCCAACTAAAGTGTGTGTGTGTGTGTGTGTGTGTGTGTGTCCCAATTTGTTGTCTCTAGACAGATATGTGTGATCGCATCATATGACCAGTTTTTATCCTTACATGTAGAAGCGCTCAGAGCCAAAACAACCCCCCCCCATCTCTCTGTGCCTTCTCACTCTGGTTCGATTTTTCTCACATTCTCATGTTTGTCTGTCTGTCCGCGTCTCACCATGAAACACGGACACTGTAATTCAGTGTCGCTCTCTGGTAACGCACCTAGTCCGTGTTGTTCAGGGATGATCTGAAACCAAGCTCTTTTTTTCCTCGTTACTGTCCACTCTCTCCAGTACAAAGGTCAGAGGTCACACAGCAGCGTCGCAGTTGTCGTCATGGCATCTGGAAGTACGAACAGTGAGGAGGAGCGGAGCCTGAGGGAGTGTGAGCAGTACGTGCAGAAACACAACATTCAACAGCTGCTGAAGGACTGCATTGTCCAGCTGTGCACCTCCAGGCCAGACAGGCCCATGGCCTTCCTCAGGGAGTACTTCGAGAGGCTGGAGAAGGTTTGTGTGTGTTATTTGATTTGGTTGTCCTTACTCGTCAGTGGACAGAAAGAAAATCATTATACAGTGAAAGCTGAGCATCACATACTCATGTTACGCCACACAGTTACTATCTGTCTCATAGGACTGCTAATCTTTTCATAATCATAATTTATATTTATTTACATCTGGTAAGATTATATTTATTTTTAATAAAAAGCCAACTCAATTTAATAATTTTGATGTCACAGACAGGGAGATTTCTCAGACATTCAGGTTCATGCACTTTGTTTTTATATGATGTCATCAATACTTGCGCTAACCTTTTGGATTTGAGCTTTTTTCCAAATGTTTTGATAGAGTACATCAGTATGTCCAAGAGCCACATAGCAATAATTAAGTAGGTTATAGTAATACATTCAAAATAAGATAATTAGCTCTCTATCTAAAAAGCTGACACCACTTTAATGTCAAACATGGTTACATTTCTGCACAATTATATGCATTAAGTATGAAATTTTTTCTTCCCACTTTTTTATGTTGATTTGTTTGCTCAAATGTACAAAGTGAACCTAACGTTATGTCCTGTGATTTTTCTATAATATATATACAAGGTCGGAATATGAACACTTTTGGATCAGGGTTGCAGAAGTCATGTTCAAAACCAGATACATTTACTATCAGTAAAAATCTAGATAGGCAAAGTTACTAATTCGTGATTAAATTACTCCTTAAATTTAACTAATGCAAACAAGTCCACATACAACAAATGGCATTTCACAAATTGCTATTACTATGAAAAACTTAATGGTTTTCTGAAACTCTGTATGCAATCTAAAATTGTTCATATTCAAAGTATTTGATTAAAAATAGGTTTATCATGGTTGCATATGGTTCGTCACTTTTTTATTTATCTGATTATTTTTAGGATACTCACCTGAGAGTGACTTCAAATCCTCTTGAAGTGTATTACAGTACATGCATATATAAAGTTATATGCACTGTAGTATATGTTTGTATCCTTTAGATGTTCTGGTGGTTAAAAAAACATTCATTTATTTTAAGGCGGAACTTCACTGTAGTTTTTATCAGTTTTTTCTTTTGACCACTCGATTGAATGTAGATTATATTTTAGTTTTCTCTTTATGTTGTGTTGTGTTTTATGTGTTTCATATATTTTAACATAAATTAACCTGAATGAACTGCAGCAGCAAATAACCTTGTTGCCTAATGCTGCTCTTTTTTTACACCGGCTCCATCCCTTTCCTTCCTTTCAGGAGGAGGCCAAGCAGATTCAGAACCAACAGAAGGCCAGCAGTTCCCGTTCAGACTCACGTGATGAGGAGGTGTCTCCACCCATGAACCCGGTGGTAAAAGGTCGCCGGCGGAGAGGAGCCTTCAGCGCAGAGGTTTACACAGAGGAGGATGCAGCCTCATATGTTAGAAAGGTAGACGCACACGTACACACATGAGCAAACAGCCTTGGAGTCTACAAGAGTGTGGCAACCATAGAATGAATATAAAGATGGACATGACGGCTCCCCAAAAGTGTCTTGAATGCCCCCTGATGGCTGGCTGCCAGTAGGGGTCATAATTCCTGCCTCCTCCATGTTAGTGGATGAGACATGGACCAAACTAACAAATCAGTACAAGCCAAATTGATTTTCCAATGAGAATGTCATTTTAGAGACTGGTCAAGCGTGTATCGAAGGGACCTCACTACCACAGCTACATCTCCAAAACACTACTGCACAGATTCTGGTTCCACGCGCACAAGATGGTGGCTTTCATATCTGGGATACGCTGCCATCTTTATCTAAAGTCTATGGTTGCAACACTTAAATCGACAACAATCTGATACCGTCACTGTTCTGAAAAGTTCAGTTGCTTTAGATTTGTTTGAAAGTCTTAAATGAGCAAAAACATTTGTTTTTTGTCTTCTAAGGTCATTCCTAAAGACTACAAGACGATGGCAGCCTTGGCCAAAGCTATTGAAAAGAATGTGCTCTTCTCCCACCTGGATGACAATGAGAGGAGGTATGCGTGAAACCGTCTTTGGTTTTTCAACTTTGGATATATGTGTAACTGTATTCAGTGAATTAGCTCACAAATCTTTTTTTTTTCCAGTGACATATTCGATGCAATGTTTCCAGTCACCTACATCGCTGGGGAAACAGTTATTCTGCAGGGTAAAGTTTTATCTTTCAACAAAAACTACTCCAGATTGAGAGTTGTGTGATTGTGATATTAACACTATCATTGTATACGTTCAGGTGACGAAGGTGACAATTTCTATGTTATCGACCAAGGAGAGATGGATGTGAGTATGTGATTCTGAGCATGGATAGACCTTAATGTTTAAACAATAAATAAATGGGAAGTTTTAAGTTTTCCCTTTTTGCCATTTGATTTTTTTACATTGGTTTCTACCCTGCTTATCTGACAGGTCTATGTGAACAACGAATGGGTGACCAGCATCGGAGAAGGAGGCAGCTTTGGAGAGTTGGCCCTGATCTACGGCACCCCGAGGGCGGCCACAGTCAGAGCCAAGACCAATGTCAAGCTGTGGGGCATCGACAGAGACAGCTACAGGAGAATACTCATGGTGAGGAGACATGTTATTGTTCTCGTGGGTCTGACGTAAAGGAAGATCACTGTTCATTTAGGTTTGGAACATGTTTTTTCTTTTCTCAAAATCTTCTTTTTCTGTGTACATTAGTTTTGGTTCCTGCTGTAACTAACTAATATCCCCATATCATATCATCTAACTTTTATTGATTCTAATGCTGAGATGCTACATCAAGCTTTTTTAATGCAATTACACTAATACAAATATATTTCTCTTTAGGGAAGCACTTTGAGAAAGAGGAAGATGTATGAGGAATTCCTCAGGAAAGTGTCCATTCTAGGTGGGTTCATTTTATTTTGAAATCAGACAAAAGGTAAAAATAGAAGAAGAGAAGCCACTTGTGTTCGCATTTGGGATTTAAATAACCTGAAAGAGCATTTAAAAATATCTCATATGAGAACAAAACTTTTAGATGAGACCTTTCTTTTGGTCCGTCGTCTCAGTTTAGAACTTTCTTCTGTGTTCTCTGTCCTCAGAGTCCCTTGACAAGTGGGAGCGTCTGACAGTCGCTGATGCCTTGGAGCCCGTCCAGTTCGAGGATGGACAGAAGATTGTCGTGCAGGGAGAGCCTGGAGACGAGTTCTTCATTATCTTAGAGGTATAAAGCTCGATCATTAACTCTCTCCACATACAAGCGAGATAGTTTTGTCCCAAATTCCAAGATTTTCCCTTCTGAAGTGTGAGGAGATGTCACGTGAAGTTAATTAGTGTTGATGGGGCGTCCATCATTGTTGCTCGTTTGGTTCCATCAGTTCTGTATTTAGCCGTTGGCCCAGTTTCACCAAACACTTCAGAAAGTGTTGGATCCACTTGTGACTTAAAGCTGTTTCATGTTTTCTGTTGAACTATTTCAATCCACATTTGATCCATGCACACGTGCCCTCTGGTGGCGATTGGAAAATGTTGCCTCACCTTCAACATTCATTTGATATAGTTGATTAAATGATTCTTCATTCTAGAGAAAATTAATCAGGAACTATTTTCATGATTGATTAATCGCTTAAGTTTAATTATAGTTTTGAATAATCGATAATTCAAGGCAATTATTGGCAGAAATAAATCACCTTTTACTTGCAGCCTTAATTTGATCAAATAAAGATAAAACCAAGCAGTAAATTAATTATTGCTTAAGGGTATTAAACTGGTGACACTCGACATGAACTCTGGTAAATATCCAGAAAATTGCATCCAGACATTTTCCAGAGTTTGCCTTTCACATATGAACGCAGCAGGAGATTGTCTGAGTCAGACGTGTTCTCAACAACAGGAAAATGTCTGGAACATTGAGGCGAGGGATGGTGCCAGGGTGGAGCCTGAAGGAGGCAGGACATTCCTTGTAAATTCCACTGCAGAAATCACATGTTTTTGTATATGTTGGCCCTAATCACCAAAAACTCTCAAATCTCTTTGTCTTTTCAAGTTGACAACTTCTTCTGTCTTCTATGCACCTCTTTTTCAACCTGAGATTTTCTGTTCATGTGAAATGTCATCAACTTGCTTCCTGTGAATTTTCTAGACGTTTTCTTGCTGTATTCTCACATGGACATTTTCATTCTCATTGTTGTGTTGAATTGATTGAATGTGAAAACTCCGGGTCTAAAATTAATTGGCAACACTATCAAAAAAGAACAAACAAATAGAAACCGCACATGCGTTTGTATTTTCTAACTAATGCACGATTCACGATGATTTACACGTAATGATGGATGTGTCATTAATTCCTGTTGCTTACCCTTGAGAGGAATTCGTGTGATTGGTTGATGCCTAATTGATGATTAATGAACCTGTGACTCAGTCATTTTTTTCCAATTTCAGAACCAACGTACTAATGTCGGATGCTTTTTAGCCGTTGAGCTCGTTAAAATAATACATTCTTATGGAGATAAAGATATGTTTTCCTCTGAGTGAAGCTGGTGAACCCTTAATCATCCATTTGTTTTTGTGTGTCTGTGTTTTCTTTTTGTTTCAGGGCTCTGCAGCTGTGTTGCAGCGTCGCTCAGAGAACGAGGAGTTTGTGGAAGTGGGGAGATTAGGACCATCTGACTACTTTGGTAAGAACTAACAGAGTCACAGCAGTCTTTGATTTCTTTTAATCGATTGGTGCTGTCAATTTGTGACTTAAGTGGAAACAGGACAGCAAGTCTCGATAATATGTTTGAAAATGGTAAAAGTATGAGAAAAGTCCTGCTTCTTGTGATCAACGAAAAGTTTTTTTTCTGGCAGCTTTTAAACACACGGTTGCAAAGTGCTTTACAGGTTAAAGAGGAAGAATTGAAAGCAAATAATTAAAGCAGTTTAAAGCTCACAAAGCATGAGAGCACAAATATAAGAATGTTACAGATGAGAAAAGAGTTAAAACAGATTTAAAATGAAAGAATATAAATCTTTAAATCAGCGCTAGATTTTACAGTGTGTGTTTGTCCGTGCTCCTCAGGTGAGATTGCTCTGTTGATGAACCGTCCCCGTGCTGCCACCGTGGTTGCCCGCGGGCCCCTCAAGTGTGTGAAGCTCGATCGGCCTCGCTTCGAGCGCGTCCTGGGTCCCTGCTCCGACATCCTCAAACGTAACATCCAGCAGTACAACAGCTTCGTCTCGCTGTCTGTCTGAAGGGGGGGCGTCTCTTCTCTCCCCATCCCTACCTCCCTCCCCTCCACTCCCTGCCCTCTCCTCTCCCTCTCTCCTTTTAGACCCAGGGTCCACCAATGCAATTTGCTTTTTTGTCACTTTTCTTCTTCTTCTTCTTTCTGTTCACTTTATCTCCCCCTCCCTCTTTGTTTTACACGCGGATGATTTCGTTGTTACCACCCGTCAGGCAGAGGTGACTTTTAGCCATTCACCAGCGCTTGTACCAGCTGCTGTACGCTACCTTGTAGGCACAGTTACATCACGTTTCTTATGTTATAAATGTATTTGCTGGTTATGGTTTTATTTTCAAATTAAACACATAACAGGATTGTTAGATCTGAAAGACATTTGGGTCTCACACTGATGAGACAGGACAATCAAACTTTACATGGCGCTTTGTTACAGATTTATGTTGAAGTGAAGAGGACTGATTCTTCCCCATTTAAGAGTTTCCTTTTTGACATCAGTTAGATAACCAGTGTAGAGCAGAACCTAGAAACTGTAGGAGGCAGGAAGTATTTGACTGCTTCGAGTTTAGTTTTTAGGTTTCAGCTGTGACCTGAAGCTCCGTTTCTTATTTTAAGGTTACCGTTGTGATTGGTATGATGAGATTGGTGATTTTTGCTTAGTTTGGGAGAGCTTGTGCAACTTAAAGGTTCTTATTTAATTGTGCAGCTACCAGGCTAGTGCCAAATGTTGGTTATTTTTAAAACGCAAAGATGCATAGCTGTGGAAATGCAGTGTGTGTTCTGTTCCCCCGGCTATTTGAAGCCCAAAAAACAGGAAGTAGTTATTATTACCCTTATCATCCTCTTAATCGGTAGAATGACCATACAAGAACTGCCTTGACTACTCTGAGGGAAAAAAAGGAAAAAAGAGAGGAAAAAAAAAAACAAGAGTATTAAGTGTATTTCAGTATTCATTTTTTTAGTATATACCAAATAACTTGGTCACTCTTCTGCTATGGTTTGTATTCAAAATATTATAATAGTATAGAAAAAACGATCATTGTTCTATTACTATCATTGACTAAATGATAAACTTATGGTTTGGAGTGATGGTGATCTTAAAAAAATATGTTTAACTGTCTTTTGTAAACACTTATTTTTCCATAAATTCTATTTTAGGTGTCCAGTGCCACAAAGTAAATAAATGCTTCTTCTTGACAAAACAGTATGTAATTGTATTGTGTAAAACGTCATGGGTTCAAACTTTTTAACAATAGATCAAAGGGTAAATACAGGTTTATTGAAGTGACGTCTTGGAAGAAGATAAAAAAAAGTTGAAGCAAACCAGGTGGTTTGTGGATTTTCAGGACATCCGAAGTATTTATGTACGGAAGCATCACAGGTGAGCTGACGGGCAGCGTGAGCAGATATTTATTTAAAACTAGTGTCATTGCTTATTGCCTATTTGAAAAAGGTGGCTGTCTTCTCATCAGAGTAGCTTGTGATCTGTTCTCTATGCTTACTTGGCATGATGTTTTAGGCATCCAGTGATCCGGTATGAATGGAAGCGTGAATTTAAAAAGAAAAACAAAAAAAAGCTGTGTCCTGCAGCTGCTTGCAGAAGCAGGAACTCTGTCAAATATTTGGTTTGTTACTCCCTAGCTTAACTGCTTCATGACTATTTAGATAAAATGTTAAGTCTTTTTCTTTCTTTCTTTCCTTTTTTTTTTTTTTTCTCCTCTCCAGTGAAAATTGAAGAGGCTTTATGTCAAATGCTTTTTAAAAGATCTTTACCAAATCACACAATGTTGACTTCTGGATTTTCAGCTCAACTCATCATTCCTGCTTCACTGTCTGATACCAGAAACCACCCAGAACCAGTCACATCTGTTTCTTTTTTTTTTTTTGTCTCATTCAAAGCACTTGTACGCGCTCAGAACCGAGATGTGTGTTTGTACGTCCCAAACGATTTGATTTTGGTGCCGATTGCAGGGTCGTCAGATTAGCGATGAGAGTTTTTGTTCACAGACATTAGTGTTTTTTTTTTCTTTACAGTTGTTTGAGATATTCACGTGTTTCCTCCCTCAGCCCTCGGGTTGTCCTTGTGGATGTGGTCACATGTGGATTAATGTTTATCCTGATCCACAGGAAGTGACTGTGTTAGGGGCGAGGGTTTCATGCACCTTTTTGTCGCCGTATTGTTTTCCTGTAAATAGCGACATCACCGGTTTTATTCCAAAATGTTTCTAGCCACACTGCAATCGTCCCGGTTTGCCTTAGCTTACCTTACCTGGGCTTACAGTAGTAGTCGGTCACTCCTGCTAGCCCGACCTTCAGTGAGTTTGTTAGACCTGCCGCTCGAGAGAGAGAGCAGCAGGCGATCAGAGGACCATTCTTTTTCTATTCTACCCTGTATTCAGTTTGACCTCCTGTATGTGCAAAGATGTTTATCCTTTTGGTATAGATTGTTCCAGATGGCAGTTTAAGCAATAAAAAAGTAAAAATGATTCTGTTTTGTCTCACGCTTCGTTCTTTTTTTTAATACTTGTGTTACTGTTGCACTGACTTGGTTGAGTTCATGATGTTTATTGTCAAAACTGTGCTTATAATGTAACTTAATTAAATGAAATGCAATTTGTGAGAAACGTACAGCTTCAACTAATAATAATTTGCATTTGTGATTAATCTGCTAATCACTGTTCTATTGATATGTTTGGTATGTAAACTATAGCAGTGAAAAATGTGCACCCTAGTTTCCTAGTGTCTAAGTTGACACCCTCATGACTTGATTAGTTGGACCGACGATCAAAATATTAATTGAAATTGAATAAAAAGGATATAAAACAAATATATAAATGATTAATCAGTGTAGTTGCAAAGTAACTACATAACTACGATAATTCAAAACATATTTCTCGCTCTAGTCTCGTTAATTTTATGAGTTTAAAGGAAACGGACAAGATCAGTGCTAAGGGTGAAAAACTGTTTTGTACCTGCTTGTACCATTTAGAAAAAGATGTAATATGACTTTTGTCCACCAGGGGGGAACCTAATTCTACCCTAAATCTAAGGAATCTAAAGCCTCTTGTATTCACTCATTCCTGCTCAAAAATAGTGTATTAAAATCGATGCCTACATTTTTAAATACACAACTTCTATCATTCTGCTCTTGTAAAGTCATTATTTAAAAAGACTTTGGTCAACAGGGTAGATATGGGTCCCCAAAATGTCTTCTTCAATTTAACAAACAAAACGCCTTAAGAGGAGAAGAATACAATTTTCTTGAATTTGGATCGAATGGTTCCTATTTTTTTTTTGTATGATTTTCAACTCTTAAATTTAATTGTATTTGGCTTTATGTGTGCTCACCTTGTACATCTCTGAATGTTCCTTAAGGAGGATATTTATGACTTCTGACAATTGAGGTCATATTTCCATGCAGTGATATTTGCTAATGATTAGCAAAAGTTTGAATTGATTATAATTAACTGTGTTAATTGTTTTTGAGAAAAAGCAACTTTGCTGCTTTAAAGTTGTTGCTCGTAGTTCTTCTGGGTTGAGAAAAGTCCAGGCTGTTCTTTGATATTCCTTAAAATAGCTGTGGTTGTTTCTTAATTTGAGTAAGAACAAATAAAATTTCAGACATGAAAACACATTTATAATTGGTTCAGCGCTGTAATATAACACATGTGTGGGTTGCTTTGGGTTTGCCGTGTCTCCGTCTTAGCCTGTTTTAGTTGACAGTGCTGTCGTAAAGCTCTTTAAACGCTCTGATGAGACAGAGAGGGATTACAAGTCTGGAAACTAGGGTGGAGTGAACTCAATGACTGTTTAGGAGGGAGCACTTTTCTCTCTGACACTGTTATTTACAGGTGATGATTGTTCTACAAAATTCACACAGTCATCACTTAAAATAACTTTATTTCCTCTTTATAACATCACATTGACGCCACAAAAATCCGTCTTTCCACAGTCAGAATATTCAAACAACTGATCCAGTGCATCACAGTGTTCTCACATGAACTCTGTAACTGATCTTAATGTGTTTGACAGTGAGGGTGTGAAATCTTGTGCATTCATTGATGGAGCCATTTTCAGACATGAACTCTAGAGAATGTCCGCGAAATTGGGTCCGGACTTTCTCCAGAGTTTGACTTTCACACATGAGCAACGCGCCAAGAGATTCTCCGCTCAGGCGTTGGCAATGACACCAGCGTTTTTGTTTTACGGCACGTCAACACCATTGTCACCAAAAGCTCTCTTGTCATCTTCACTAGTGTCTTCTATGAGTTTTTTCAGTTTTGCTTCTGTCGCCTGCTCCTTTGCAGTGAATCCAGCGGAGGATAGTCTGCTTTTTTCTCACAGGGTTAATTTGGACATTCTCCAGAGTTTTTACTAAAGCAGAAAGATAAAGTCTGGAGCCTCCCACTCGGACATTTGCAGTCTCACACAGGAGATTATCCGGAGTTCATTGCATGCCTGAAAACAGCTTTACCGCTTTCTTCAGGTCAAGTTAGTCTTTAGACGATCCTTAAAAGGTTTTCATTCATTTATGACCATGAGAGAAACAAAAGGAAATAAAAGCATGAGCTCACTCAGTGATCGGAATTCAAGGCCTGCAGTGATTCACATTCTGAACTTCCTCAATCAGTCTTCACAGCGTCTTCCTTTTATGGCTTGTTCCTTAAATCAAAACCATGTGAGCCCTGTTTGCTCACCAGGTGACTGAGCTTCACCATGAAGTCCTCTGTGCCATGAGGCGAGCCTGTCATCCTCTGTTACCTGTCCATTTCCATCTCTGTCACAGTCTTAGGTCTCTCTGTGGATTTGACAAAGTCCTTAGTGATCACCTCGTCCTCCCCCAGCCGTCGGACGCACCGCCGTACCACCCGCAGGATCTTCTGTAATCGGCGGTCCAGCGCCAAGATGTGAGGCTCCATCAGGATCGGCCATAGAGGGTCTCCCTCCAGGGACTCCCTCATCACGTCGCTGAGCCTAAACTCTGGTTGGGCCAGGAGCTGGAGCCGCAGCAGAGTGGAGCGCTTTATCCTGAGGAGGGAGTGGAGAAGACGGAATGATTTTTTGTTTCAAGTGAATTCATTTTGATGGACAGAAATAAAAGCTGGTCCTGCTGCATCTTACTCACATGCAGCACTGATTTAGAGGGGCCAGGATGGACATCTCATCTTGAGAGTGCTTCCCAAACCTGAACACATGATGTTGTGCGTCATGAAGAATGCTATCAAACACTTTCACAATATGTTAATCCACAACAATTTTCTCTTCTCACCCTCTGGCATTGTCCAAGTGGAGGAGGAATCCTTCATCCCCAAACTTGGTAAAAACCTCATAGTGGTGTCTGTCCATGTTACCTGCAACCGAGCATCACAACTTTTACTGAGACACAAGGTGAGGTGTGTTCCGATAATGACAGACCTGCTGGATATATGAAGAGCAGATAAAGTGGTGAAGAAATAAAAAACCTGTAAGGAAGTCGAAGATGGACATGTCGATGATGTTGAGGAGCCTGTTGCCAGAGTTATACGGATACAGCTGCTTTATGGTGTCACAGTAGAACGGATTTGCTTCCCACCTTTAAAATCCCACACAGACAAAGAGCAATGAGAACATTATATTCTCTTATGTGATATGAACAAACATATCTGTAACAAATTGACAAAACAGCGTCCATAATTTCTTCTTTATGTCCTCACAACATTTTCTCTGCAACATTTGGTTTGACGTGCTGTGTTTTACATCATGGCCGGGCAAATTTTGTTTCGGAGGAATTATCATAATGATGCACCACAACAACAGCATCTAAGAAATAATGAGGGGCCTCTATACGCTGCATTTCCTGTTATGTGTCACTAGGTGCCGATTAGCTTACTTATTGCACAAAACAGGAAGATGTTTCAGTTCGTCTGGTCCTCGTGGGTTTCAAAAACAGTGGAGTTAAAAAGCATAAACGAGAAAAAAAGTCTTTGAACAAAGACACAAACATCCAATTTAGTCCAGTATTAACAGGATTTATGGGAAATGTGGCCTTTCATTTTATTTTGAAAATACTAGCTCTTATAATCTTGCTAAAGGCCACCGACCGTCTCAGCCTCCAAATAATTCGAAACGTCTGTCTGTCTGTCTGTGTGACTCGAATCCCTGAGTGCTATGTGGAATTTTGTGCGATTTGAACACACAAATATTATTAAAATTTGAATTAACAGGCAGCTTTCACTTGGCTGCTTAACAGACCATTGAAATGGCCGAGATAAAATGGTGAAAACATTAAAAATATAAAAATATAATTGCAGATAAACCAGGCAGGATGAACACAAAGTTTTCTAACTTCACTCTGCATCGTAGACTGTTTATAAAAAGCTCTGCAAAAAACGTCAAGCACACAAACAATAAAAAGTGACAGTACGTTGTAGATTTGTTTGAGGAGGACTCACTGAGTACAAGGAATATTTCTGAAGTAGCTCAGCTTTAACTCATGTTAGAAAACAGCCCAATCCAAACTGGCACTGCACTCGTGAGATAAAATGAAATTCCTCTGCAGAGGTTGAGGTCTTACTCTTCTTGTCCGGTGAAAGTGTACGATCGTACCCAGGGGTAGGGGATGGAGATGCGAGGGGCGATGCTGAGGCCAGGCAGGTAGGCAGACAGGGAGCCCTCTAGCAGGTCAGGGCTCCCGCACACTGCATATTCTGTCTTGCACACGTACAGGCACTTG